TGTTTTGGAGCAAATCTAAGTATTTAACTCCGTTCAACATATTTTCAATAAATATTGGTCCAATTATCCTATTATCCAGCAAACCACACCATAAATTAATAGAGAAGCGTCTTTGAGGCATCGTTTCTTGAATTAAATGAGGATTTTGTTGAGCATAGATGTGTTTATTCCTTCTGTTGATTATTCCGCAATTAGTGAAGGTAGTTTCATCGCTCCATAAAATGTATTTTGGTAAATCAATATTGCGGGTCAAACATCTATTGAACCACTCACAAAAGACAATTCTTCTTGCAGGATCCCCTTGATGTAGAGTTTGAACCTTTTTGAATTTATAGTCGTGGTATTTGTGCTTCTTTAAAATGCGGTTGACTGTCGTTTTTGAAGTATTGCATAAACGAGCAATATTTCTGGAAGAATTTTCAGGGTTTAAAGCAATTTGAGCAAGAACATTTACTTCACTCACTGTGGGTTGGACCTGGTATCTAGTTCTTGCTTGATTAACACATCCGTATCTAGTCATATTCATTGAAATTCGTTGAAAGGTTTTTTGCTGGGTTGACGTCGTTCTGGATATAAATTCATGTAGTGATTGACAGCTTCAGCTGAATTTCTGAAGCATCGTATGTAGATTTCATACATATCTCTTTTCTCGTCAGTGGAATACATTTGAGGCATTACGATAACTAACAAGATGTCAAACATTGACATTTGTTTCGACTTATTTACTATTAGCCTACTTGACAAAATCCGATGCATTGTTCTGGTGGTTCAACGCAACATTCTTCCAAGATTGTCCTTATAAAGAAATTGTTTGATTCCAAATTTGTTAGGCGATTATTTGAGATATTATTATTATCATGAAGCAATAATATTCATAATCGATTATTGTACATGATGAAGGTAGCGATAGAAACGCAAAAAATACAGAGAGTCTGTATACAGATTGAGAAGGCCAATTTATTAAAAAATATATCAGGTCCGTATTTCAAAATGTTGACTTTTTGGCTTTACCTTTTTCAAAATGATATTAGTGGGGTTATACTCATAGTGTGATACATGTCTGTATACAGAATGAAAAGGCCAATTTATCAAGAGAAAAAAAATATCAGGTCCGTATTTGGAAAAAAAAAAGTTGAGGGTGGCCCTGGATGAACGAAACGTTGTATCAAAAATCTGATATTACCAGATTAATGAACATATAAAATAGAAGAAAAAATGTCTGTGTGTTTTTTTTTCATTTCCCGAAATGAAAGGGCTAGCGCCTGAAAACGAAAATCGACAATTTTGTTTTTTCTCAATTATCTCGGAAACGGCTCATGATGTCGTTGATTTTTTGACATAATTCTTATGTCCCCCGAAATGTCTAACTTTTGTTTCATTTAACCAACTTTCTATCTCTAACCGTTTCAGAGATAGCAATAGTGGGACAACGAAATGTGGGCCACCCTGTATATCATTATGGAATCAATATTGAAGCTTATTCTCATCTTCAAGGAAGAAAATTTTCATTATAGTAGTTGATTATTTCGAATGCAGAAAATAGTAAGTATTCACAATAAACTTTGAAGCAATGTAAACCCACTTGAAAAATTGGGCGAATAGAGATAAACACGTGTGGCTATAATGGCATCCTATATTGTGCAAGAATTTCGTGTTTATGCTATTCCGAATGAATCATGGATTTCCTTAAACAAAGAGTTACAACAAACTTCAGACATTGTAACGGTACATCCGTGAATATAAATATAGAAAATGATATATGCTAACAATCTCATGACAAATAGTGTGATATTTATATCTATATCACTCTTTACGTATCTTGTATCTTGAATTTGAAACGAATAGTTTATATATTATGCTCATTTATCTGTATATAACTTGTTTTCATAAATAGACAATGTGGATGTGGAATAACCTTGATGGAAAGATCAGACGATATCAGGTTGTTATTATTACTGTCTTTTGTCTCTTTGTTGTCTACTAAGATGAAAAGAATGAAATGTAATATATAATATTATTGAGATGCTCCATTTGAGAAAGCTTTGAATCAGAATATGACATATTTTGCATCAAATTCCAATTACTTTTCATGACTGGCTGTCGAAAATATCAGTCAAGAAACGCAGAGATATTGAAGAGCCCGTGTATGATATGCTGTTGGAAGGTATTGAAAAAAATATGAATCTGTATCTTAACCAAAATAAAATGCCTACTCAGGAGTACATGAACGAACATATTGAATACAGTGTGGAGACTTCAACTGGAATGAATTCGTTAGCAGGGAGGTGAATATTTTTTCTAGAAATTCCCGACATACGTCAACGATTTAATGAAGCTACCTACCTTTTGCCAGCAAAAAAAAATATCTAGAATATATCCCTCCAGAGGTGTTTGAAACCACCCTCAACATGTTATGGCTTTTTGTGACCCCCCCTTTGGAAAGCTGGTGGAAAATTTGAAGGTTACATAAAATTTACATGTAATATTGATTTGAACTTGTTGCAACGTTTCAATCGCTCAAAATGTATGTTGAACGATTGATGGCAATTTTTTGCCACAACTGCTATCTACTATTGTCTGCCAGTGTTTTTATAGAACCGCAAAAAAAGTTAGTATTTCAGCCGTATTCATAGTTCGAAACGAAGTGTTATTGCAAACTGGAAATGCCCTATATCACTGTCACCAAAAGTCGAAATTATGATGAATATTCGTTGAAAATGTATTGAACCTCAGAATTATATTTTGATTTCATGCGACCCCAAACGTACTGCAAACTGGAATATGATCAGTACGCTGGATTCCTCTTTCAACCAGCTTTCCAATGAGGAGTCGCAAGCCATAGGGTTCCAGGTACTCCTGAAACGAGTCATATTCACCATATTGCTCGCCAAATGTAGGTGATAGATATTTACATGAGTATCGTAAAGACTCATATCACGATATGAGATGGAAGCTCGATTATCGTTATATCAGTTTACGATTTTTTTTATGTTATGGTTCCCACGAAGAGGGATATCCTGTAATGTTCAGAGAACATCGTGAGAAAACCAAGGTAAGTAAGATAGGAATTTGTGTTCTTCTCAATTTCCTGGAACACCTCCCTTGGAAATGTGTTCCAGAGCCTCGCTGTCCGTTGGATGAACGAGTCTTTGGGAAGAGATGTTCTGCAGGTCTCCAAAGTGACCACAAAGGGGTCAACTCGACGTGTTAATCTCGCGGGGACTGCCAAGGGAGTAACAATTGTTGATATTTCAGAAGAGCATCGTACATGAAAATATCTATAAAATAGAGCCAGATCGCCAACTTTTCTACGGTGTTCCAGAGAAGTGAGTGAGTTTGTGAGCGAGGCATTACCCCACGAGACGAATTGCCCCTTTTTGGACAGAATCCAACAGTTTCAGGGTATGTTTGGGTTCTGCACTCCTGATATGGGAACAGTATTCCAGGACAGGTCGGATCTGTGCCTTATAGATCATAAGCAGCTGACTGGAAGTGAAATAGCTCCTGGCCCGAAACAGAAAACCAAGTTTTTGGGATGCACTTTTAGCAATTGATCTCACGAGATTTTCCCAAGAAAGGTTATTGCTGATAGTAATACCAAGCATCGAAATGGATGTCTTCAAAGGTAGGGTTACTCCTGACAAGCTTATGTTGGGCGCATTGAGATCGGCTTTTCTAGTGAAAAGGCATGCTTGTGTTTTGTTTGCATTGAAATCTACCAAGTTATTGGATCCCCATTCAAGTATTGTTGCCAAGTCAATACGAATATAGTACAATTCTACCTACTACCAACGAGCTAATTATTCAATCAAAAATAGTCAATATTGCTTGAACTGACGATTCATTAGGAATATGTAACAAGCAAGCGTTGCAAGGTTTGGGCGTATGGTTGTTGTGAATTTATTGTGTTCTCGGTTGTCACTCATTCGGCGAACTGTCAACTATGACTCGATGATTTTAATTCGAAGAAAAATTCATCGGCATGAAATCGGATCAGGAAAGTTCAGATTCCGATATAGAAATTGCGGCGAATGCAGTCATCGAAACTTTAGTAGGTACCTGCTAAATCCCGGGATAGGTACGAAAATATGTATTATTAATCCTATCATGTCTATAATTATGATCAATTCTTGTTTCATTTCTCCGATTACCATTTATTTTCATTGATGAGGTTCAATTTTTGGAAATATTGAATATTATAATTGTATATAGTTTACTACCTGATAATATTCATGATGAATTGGTTCTTATTTCTATTTATGTGTGAAAATAAATTTTGAAATTATATTTTTCTCACTTTACCGCACTAGTGCGGTAAAGTATCTGATTACGATACTCAAATCAGTGTCGTTATGTTTCACATCACATATTGGTAGTAGGTAAATATAGGGTGTCAAGTGTCTTCACCCAATTTTTTTATAAGCAATTTACGCGGTTATACGTCCAATCTTCTGAAAATACTGTTTCGAATGAGCACATAATATGCGCCTCTAGGGTGAAGACACACAGAGCGGTTTTCGCCGACTCGGCGGCCGACTCGGCAGCCGAATGCATGAAGACACACGGGTTGTTGCTGATGCGACACGCAAAACGAATACAATACAATGTGGTGTTGTCAGTTCCTGTTCAAATTCGCAATAGTGTCCGAACGGTATGGAGTCTGATTCTGAGGAGGAATTCTTAAAATTAGTGGGACTAATTTATTGTCGTTCGGAGAAAAAAAGCAACAATCGAAAAGTTTAATTCATACTTTATCGTATCTAATGATGAGATCAAAAGAGATGACGAAAAACTCTTCAATTTTGTATACCAATGTCGAAAGATTCGTTTTATGAACTGCTGACTCTGATGAAGAATCAAATAACTAAGCAGGATACGGCAATGAGGAGAAGTATTTCACCAGGATATTGGTATTGCATGTTTGGAACAGATACTGCGACTTGGGGTTGGATTATATATTTATCAATGGATTGCATTAATTTTATTCTCACAGACAGTTTCTAATGCGTTGGAACCGACCTCAGCTCAGGCAAGAGTGACAAAAGAAATAACTCATCATCGTCTTCTGGAAGATTTTCAATTTTTTTTTTTCGAATCGAGCTGCGTTTCTGTCGAGTGCTTAAATCAATTTTTTCTACATTCATGCAAAAACCAGAACTTTATTGAACTATATTTAGTGGAAAAAGAAGTTCTTTATTGCACTCAGTGCAATGAAGTTTTTATTGCACTCATCTGTCATTCTACTTCAACGTGCTGTCATCATGACAAACATTTTTTATATTGCAACTGTGGTTATAGAACCGTCATATATTCGTATTGAAAATTGCACCAATTGTTCATTCACTTTCAACATTAAGGGTAAAAATAAAGTTTGAGTCAAATTGTTCCAGTTTCAATGCAAATCGATATTAATAATGAAGTATTCAAGTTGCGTTTTTCATTTTCCTACACCTAGTGCCGCACCTCAATAAATCATTTTTTGCTTTTTGCATGAACGTAGGAAAAATGTTGTATGCAACTCGTGCACTTTTTGCACTTGTTGCATAAATAACTATTGCGTCAACTAATAGGATTCTTCTTTTCTTTCAATTTGTGGATCCACTGTGACATTTTCCGTTTGTGTATTTTCACACGATGCCGATGTGGTATTTTGCAACCAATTGATTTTTCACAATCAATGAGAGCCATCATGGATCAGTCAACTTGACAACAATGTTTGTATTGCACTGCTCAAAAACCGCTCCTCGTGTGTTCAATCGCATTTGACAAAACAGTCTGAGTCACTCTGAGTAGCCGCTCAAAGCAATAAAAACGCGTTCGGCATATCATCCAGACGACCGTGCGCGGCAGCAGGGCTGCCCAATGTTGCAATTGTTTTATTCCATAAAGACGCGACAGCTCGTGTGCCGACACGGCTGCCGAGTCGGCGAAAACCGCTCCGTGTGTCTTCACCCTATTATTAACAAACTTCAATTAGAGGAATATCCAAGTATTGGCCGAGGAGAATTCACATGCCTACCTTACATTATAGAGTCACTGGATGGTATTAGTTTGATAAGAGTTCGGACACAGCTGAACTTTTGTCCTTTTCTATTTTCTATAATACAATGGTTTAAGTGAATAAAAGAATAAGACATATATTCTGCTCTTTGTCTTTTCAATTTCCCTAGTAGCGCCTGATTGTCAGATACGATTTTAGAGGTTATATTTTCTGTCAAATCAATCATAGCCGTAGATGGACAATGGGGATAGGGTACAAACATCCACTTCAATTTAGTGATACACTACTAGCAGAACAACTGTTATATAAATGAAAAGAATGCATGTAACAACATTTTAATATCAGAAAATTTACACTATAAGAATAAACTTATAGCTATAATTCCTTATTGTATGTGAAACTTGACTCCAGTGAAGAGTATAAAACATGAAGTTATTTATATTAAATTAAAGGTAGGTATTCTCAATATACAGGAAGTAACATAAGTACTTTGAAGTGAAGTATTTGTTCTAAAATTTGTTTGTAGAACAAATACTTCACTTCAAAGTACTTATGTTACTTCCTGTATATTGAGAATACCTACCCTAAAGTATTCCTAAGACAATTATAAGAAATAAAGTTTATATAAGCTTTTGTGTCCGGAAATGCTTCATTTCGGAGATACAGGGTGCTGAAATACCTCGTGAAATACAGAGAACAAATCATTGTTCGATAAACATTTGATAGGAAAATAGTAGTTTATTTTGACGAGACCTACCAAATACTTGGTTTTGTAAAGTTCTCAGCAACCCCACTTAGCGCCCTAGGAGCTAAGTAACACGGATCGATATAGAAAATATCTCCAAAACGATAACGTCCAGCGTAATTATGGCCCTTATAATAAGTCCCTTGATACATCAGTAACTATTCACTTTTCACTGTTAAATTTTAAATTTGGTTGGCACCAAAAACGTCATTCAATAATATATCACTTTGTAGTTTACTTGCTTTCCTTAGTTTCGGTTTCAAATTCTCAATTTTATCATGTAATTTTGCGATCATTCCCTCTTTTCCATGATTATTTCGGTTTGTATTTTGTGTGATGATAATAATGGATTTTTGTTCTCGAAATCGCCTGCTTTGTAAATTGATGGAACAGCAGATTCTCACAAACAGATTTTGAAATCTTCTGTTTGAAAATGGGCCTAAAATATAGTTTCATTCTAATCAGATGCTGTTATGGAAAGTGAATTTGAATGAGTATCTCACAAATTTCGCTCGTCTTCAAATTGATTTTGCACCCAGGCCATTTCATATCTTCCTTCCATAAACAAATGGTTGATATTTGTTTCAGAAAATTGAATAAATGATATCCATTTTTTTCAGAATTGGCACAATTTATTACACAGCAAGTAATTTCCATAGCTGCTTTTATCTCGAATGTATAATTATGAAATTTTATTTGAATTATGACGTTTATAAAATGTATTGTCAAATTCAAACAATTTAGAATGAGAAAGCGCGGGACGACTATGGTGCTCTTGTCACAATGCAAGGTGTGTAACTTAATAAATCTAAACATCCAAAAACCCTAACCGTTGTCATTTCTGTGTCCGAACTCTTATCAAACTAATAACATCCAGTGACTCTACCTTACATACAATCTGGTGTCCTGTGTAGCGATGCAGAAATTAAATTCTGCTGTTTTTAAAAGTGCCTCAAACCACCAGCTCAGCGGGCAGTCTCAAGTCTGTAGTCTGAGGAAAGGAAATGAGAAGCAATGTGATGGTGACAAGGCGGCGAGTTGTTATCGAAGTAAAAAGGAATTTCAATTCTCAATTCAAAACTATTTATATATGCGAATATTCGTAAATATCTAGGTGATATTATGTGCTGAGAATTGAGAAAACACATTTATTTTTGACGTCTCAAATCCTGAGTAATAAGAATATAAGAAATAATAATAAACTTTCTTATAATTATAAAATGTATGAAAGCTCATTATTTACATTTTGTGATATTCTATAACGTTGTAATTTCAAAGAAATGAGCGGTTTATGTTTAATGTTACTTACATACAAAAAATATATTGGTATTCTGGTAATTCATTTACGGATGGAAACGTGTATCGATATATACAGGTACACGTTTCCAACATAATAAAGACCTTCGATGCGTGATGCGTCTCCACTTATTTAGTCTCCGAGAACAACTTCAACGGATTCTGTGATCCAATTGATTAACGTTCTATTGACGTGATGACAACGTGTATATACATTGGGCAAAAACCTCTTGAATTTGTCCTAATGATGTGACTGATTCAAGGGGAAATGACAATTATTTGTCACCATGTCACCGCACTCTTGGGTTGGGGAGAATGGAAGAGTTCTCCGTCCATATCTTCGTGTTCTTTTGACGACTTCCATGAAACAGGGGGGGGAGAAGATTCACAAATTAACCATGCTCTCCCAAGGAGGAAAAATATGGCGGAAATAGATCCTTCACGCATCAGCGCATTGAGTGACTCTCATACACAGCGTCATTGTATTTGTGCTGGCCCAAAAGGAACAACTTTCAGTGCATGCCAAAAACTATTCGAAAACATAAAGAAAACTGCAAATGTGAACGGAAAATTGTGAATTGACAAACTTGTCGAGAAGCTATCGGCGTCATTTTGATTCTTCTTGGAGGAACACAATTATCCAACAATCTAGTTTGAGTTTTGTGTCCTCAAGTTCCTCATCTTACCCAACATTATTGAATTCATGTTGATAATGCATGGAAAAAAAGAAAGGGTGATGTGGTGTTTCAAATATACTTTGTCACTGGTGGGGTCAGGGGGTTTCATATTCTCGGTATCAAATACAGTTCGAACATAATTTTTTTTACTATACGATGTAATCTGAGAACAATGAATGAATCAATATGATACAGTTTATTCTTATATAGAAGTCCATACTTTTCTCTAAGTGGAATGTAGTGGTGGATTGGTTAGAAAACAAAATGGAGATGATTTTGTGTTTTTCAACCCTTTCATGATACAGTTTAATGAATATGTCCAAAATATCAGATTCTTCTTTCAATTATTGAACAATTTCATCTTCGAAATTTGAATTGAAATATCGACTAAGACGATTAAGTTCGCCAATTCAAGCCAGTTGAAATTCTTGAAGTCCGCATGTGCGCACATGCTTCGGTCCATAAGAGCCTATTTTACGCCCTTCATACATAAATAATGATTTCAATCCGGAGATTCCTTGTTTACTACACTGTAAATAGGGATTTTTTGTGCGGTGAACCTAGAGAGTACTCTTAGAAACATACTTGGAACACACCCATGAATGAATATTTGTGAGATAATGAGTGAATTCGATATCTGACGCACTCAACTAACTGTCAAATTGACGTATAAGTAGTATTCCCACTAATTGAATCATCTTATGACTGTAATGAAACACACAAAATCGACGAAGAATCAAAACAAAATTAATTCAATCACATCAAAAATACTGTCACGTTCGGAAAAAATGTAAATACCGACAACATAATATAATGCCAAGTTTCGGATACTTTTTATCTGTAATCAAGAAAAGGACACATTGATATGAATAGATGAATCTAAATTGTGGAGACCTATGATGGAATAAAATCCGTATCACCCTAACAGAAATATATTTTGAAAAATCCTTGGACAGTTCCAGTTTCATTTTTGAAAATAAATATTTTTTTGGTGAAATTAACCCCTTTTTGCCCCTTCGAAATTTTCAAATAGTACTAGGAGTTGAGTTGTTTCACCGTGTAGAGAGGTATTTTAAATCTCTTCACAATGGTCTGTTTTTTTCTTGGAGCGTACGAAACCCAACTAGCATTTATAGTCGCGATTACGTAATTACGACTATTGGGTCGACTATTAAGTAATATTTACTAGTTGCGGTTACGTTATAATTACGTCGTTACTACGTATTTACGACCAAAATGGGAAACAAATCACGAGTAATTATTACGGTTTGCCGACGTAGCGGGAACTCACACAATTACGTAATGCTTACGACCCGTCGACGTCGAAATTACGTAAAGATGTAGTAAATTTTCCTACCTGACTTTCTATTTATTTTCCACTTCATAAAAATATTATTTTCTCTCTTTATTATTCTTCATTTCATCCATGAAGTTCACATTCACGAAAAATGAACAAGTCCAATATGCCTAACCATTCAATAAATAATACAAGGACAAACACGCGAAATAATGGATACTCGAACTTGAAAAATTCGAACAACATTCAGTTTTTCGATAAATGTGATGATTTTGCCTCGAAATTCAAGATGCGCCCACAAAATACGGCTCATTTCACCAAAAGTATGGTTTTATTTCATTCGGCTATTTTTCAAAAATCATCGTAAATCATGTTAATTTCCATTATTATGCAATTTGTGATCGAACGAATGCTATTATTCTTCATAAAATGATGTTTATCAACAAGAAAAACCAAAATTATTTCCTGTTCAAATGGTTATCACATCAATCAATATGGCTTCCAATCGAAAATGAATAAGAAAGTTACTTTTGGAACTCGTCAGTTATGATAACCTATGTATTGGTAACTTCAACTGAATATAATTACCGAAAAGTTGTTTCAACTATGAAGGAATTGTTTGAGTAGGAATTACCAATATGTTACTTGAAATATCACCAAGAATTGACTAAATTATTAGGTGATCGATCAAGTAACGACAACGTCGTAGAAACCTAATTGGTGACCATAGAGTAATTGCAACTGTGAAGCCTTCTTGGGGTGGTAAGCGTTACCGTAATAATATATCCAAAGTTCCGAAACCTTAAGAGTAGTTTTGAGGAGTGACAGTTTCGAAATAGTTACTTCGTAATAAGCCATGAGAATTTCTCACTTTGAAGTTATTATCTAGTGTAAAAACTACGTAATTTTCACTCACTAAATAACTATCACTGACATTTATACTATGAAGTTCTGAAATAAGTGATAAATACGTTATTATCACTAAATATAGGTAATAGTTTCTTGAACCATGGTGCCTGTGACTGAAAATGCTAGTTGGGAAGGGAATCCCTATAATGTTCGAAGAACATCATGCGCACCTAGGGAGGGTGTAGGTATCCATATTTTTTTGAACTTTTGAAAAATGAAGTTTTTGGAGAAACTTCATTTGGCAAAGAATTTCAAAGCATTGCCGTTCTATAAACAAACAAGTTTTTGGTAAAGTGGTGTTAGACACCTTTCAAGGTTGACTACGAAACTATGTGCAGACTGAGCTTGTCGAGTTCGTCTGACTGGTATTGCTAGTGATGGAATTTCAGCAGAGAACATTTTCCGTGGAATTATCTATATATAGATAGGAAAGTGGACCATATCCGCAAGGGAGCAGTCGACATAATTAAATTCCATTTTAATTTATATTTTCTGTTTCACTGTATTATACTCGTGAAATAAGTTTACCTACATTTATAATCATTTTTCCATACTGAATGTCCATCTATGCATGACTCATTCAAATCAACAGTTTGGTGAGCTGTGCCTAATACCACTCATAATTAGCTCAACCGATATAAAAAAATCATCATTGTATAGAAATTTCATATATACATCTCTATCGGTGTGCAACTTGACCTCTCCTACAATTTAGAAATTTAGGGATGAGTCGAAAGAGCATTGAAGAAGAAGGATGTTGGAGCTTGACTTGTGGATTTTGAGTATCAAAATTAATTTTGCAATTATCATGCGATGAGTTTTTTTCTGAGAATGTTTTTTGTTACTCACGTATTTTTATCAGAAAAACATGAATTTGATGATGAACATGTGAACAAAAGATTATTTATTAAAATATTTCACTATAGATTTACAAATTTCACCTTCTTTTCCGCCTGTCTTTTGGATCGCATTTAGAACAATTTGCCCTTATTTTTTCATCATTGGACAATTTACATATCACGATGAAATTCAATGACACATTTACGATTTATCCATATTCAGTGAAAATAAGGAAGAATATCATATTCAAAATAATGGCGTGCGTAACTGTATTCAAGAGCAATCTGTTGACATTATTTGTCATCTCGTATTTGGATTGATTATTGATTAAATGGCCGTCATCTGGTATGATTATTCGCTAAATATGAAGAACTCGCCATGAAAATCATATTTCGTATTGAATTCTCTATATAGAAATGTACCATTGAAGTACATCATGAGTATATGAGGTGTTCAATGGCAAAATAAAAAGAGCAAGTAGCTGTGAATGCATACACGAAAAGGTGAAAAGAGAGGAAATTTCGAAATTTTCCCCGAAATATTTCGATAAAGTAATGGTTTGTTCACATTTTCATCATCAAATTCGTGTTTTTCAGACAAAAATACGTAGGTAACAAGAAAACGTTTACTTCACCTTGACTAAATCCGTGTCAGCCAAATCAGAAATATTCAAGAATACTTACAAGTGCGAATAGTAGCATAAAATCGATCATGATATACAAGACTTGAAAGAAACTCACCTGAATTTCACACAAAATCTTGATCCGTAGTCGATATATTAAGCACCCGTTTACTCCTGCAGGAAAAGTATAACTGAATTTTCCTTGCCTCAAACAACACCTATACCACTGAAGCCCTGTCAGTTCCCGTGTGTCATAGTCACATGACCAGTCACGTTTGTTTTTTAGTCTATACTACCATCATAGGATTTAGAGGGATTACACTCGAGAAGTGGTTTAGACGACGTATATAATATACGTTCTACATTGAAAGAGATTTTTCTCAAACCATACGAATACATTAGAAGGAAATGTTTACCTCTATCATACCCAAGCTATATTCTACAGTTTTCCTGGAAACTCCCTTTGAATCAATTCAACAAGAACAAAAAGAGGAAAATCTAATGAATCTAAATCTCAAAAGTTCTACCAAAGACTAAATTCGAGTTATGACTGAAAAGAATTGGCGGCACGTTGAAGGTGACTTGAAGATTTGAATTTGGAATTATATCTCTGTCGAACGAAACGCTATCGATTGGGGATATGGGATCTTGTTTTTATCGAATATAATAATAGCATGATAAAATGAATACTGATCACTTGGATTGCACGTTGCACGTTGATGTCAGAGTTTACTCACACCAACAGGCATGCTTGAGACAATATATTTTTTCTACTACTGCTATGAAAAGTAGCGCATTTCTCATAGCTTACTTACTTTCAAAACCATGTATTGCCCATAGTGTGAGAAATATTTTTTCTCACAGCACTTTTCCAACACCACATACATTTCTATGGAGAATCAACTGACTGCTGTTCAGCTTTTAATAGTTGTCGTAACTGTCAGAATAAGTTTTTTAAATTCTTCAGGGTATAGTTCTCATTAGTGCTTTCGATAGAAATCGCATTTTCCCTCAAATATTCTCGTGCGTTTGCATCACTCGCCCTTCAGGCTCGTGCCACAAACTTTCGCACTCGTGAGAAAAGTTGAACTTTTCCCACTTGTTGCACAATTTACTATTTTCTACTACTGCTATGAAAACTAACGCATTTCCCATAGCTAACTTAGTTTCGAAACCATCTATTGCTCATACTGTGAGAAATATTTTTTCTATCGTGAACTTCGAAAACAATATCAAAATATAGAATCAGGAAATCAGAACTAGGAAAAAAATATACAAAATATATTGCATTATGAAAATTTATGTAATAATATGAGGGATCTTCAAGTTATATACATCTGGTTATTTAATTACTATATCGCTGAATTTCAACCTGGTTGACTTGTTTCATGGTCTTCTCGTATTTGAGGCTATTAAAATAAGTGTCTATATTTGGTATGGCACATCTGAAAACGAACAATTTCTATATAATTCACTTCCCTTCACTTCTCCATCAGGAAATTATGGGATCTGGTTTGATCTATCAGGTGGTCGACAAAAATATAACACATATTAATTAAGAGAACAAACTCAAAGTCTCACTCCAAGTAAATTTACTTGGAGTGAGACTTTGAGTTTGTTCGCTTGATTATCTCATCACCTCCAATTTGAGCATGATGGACTACTACCAGAGATAACACATATTTCCATAACTTCTCTTTTAAACCTATCTACTATTCTTCTGATTATCATATTCCTTCTTTGAATCGAAACTACCGACGACTGGATTCCGTTATAGAAATATACAGAGTGTAATTTAATTTTTGGCTGAAGATATAGACCATGGTTCCCTAGCTCATCTCAAGAAAAAAAGTTCATATGAACATAAGTATGCCCTAAACCTCTTAACTTTCAAGCTATTTTAGGGTGATGTTGAAATTTTGAGGAAGAGATTGTTTCCTTATCATTACTTCAATATACTGTTCTAGATATAGATCCATATGAAATTTGACATGTACCTACTCAACACTAATAGGTATTTTATGATGCAGGAGTTTTTCAGTTTTTCCAATATTTCCACCAGTGGCATCCGTATGGGATATATTCTGGAGATTATTCCGAAAATAAAAATAATTTTTGAAATCCTCATTTACATTGCAACAATTTGACTTTCTGATTTTTTTCGTCCGACGCACCGTTTTCGCCAAACTAGTGGGCTGGTGTTTGTTTTTGGAATAATGACATTGAATTTAATCGATCATGTTGCGGTCCCATTTTAGCATAAACGTGACAGTTTGTAAACGATTTTTTTTTCTTGAAATTTCATCTTCCTATAGCTCGAGAGTAAAATGGTTTAGGGCATATTATGTTCATGAGAACTTTTGGTCTCAAATAGGAACCATATCCTATTTCATTACCCATCAATCAAATTACACCCTGTATAAAAATATTTCCCGACAGAGAATAGGTCTTCTACTGTCTGTAGGTTAATCGAGGAGGTGGTACATTCATTTAACTTGATTCTTTGGGATTTTCTCTCCTCGTTTCTATAAAATAAAAATATTCGTATTATTTCAATATATTTGTAGTGGGACAAATCAGATGATTTGCCCCAAAATGTTACTGCGTTTAACACATTTTTTTATCAGAGAGTCTGAAAGAAAAATCCAGTAGATTGTCAGTGACAATTTGTTCGAAAACATGTTTGAAGGAAAGAAATATAGATATATTGAAGAAAGAATTTTGATATATCTTTGGACGTTTCGGGACCGAATCTTCTCCCGTTCTCAACATGTAAATGGAAAATATTTTTCATTGAAAATTGTGCTGTTTATAGTTTGACACTTTTCAGTGTGATACTGATGATGGCATATGAATGAGTGATTTTAGTCTACAAATGAGTTACAGGATGTTTTCATTAATTGATCTTGATCTACCATTTTCATGTTCAGTTTTCAGTAGTGAATACCATGTTCTATCTATATCAACTGAACAGGAAGCAATGCTATTGTCTCCGTTTAGAAAAATGCAAGAGGATTCCTTTATTTTTTCTTTTTTGGTTGTTATCTTCCTTTTCTATGATTTTGATATTATTCCACTCTGCCATATGTTGTCCATCTTCAGTAAGGATATGTTCAGTTAGTTTCGATTTATCGATATGTCTTTTCTTGATATTGTACTTTTGTTCTTTAGTCCTTATACTGAGAGAGGTATTTTCGTTTCACCTGTATAATACTTTCCACTACAAATATATTGAAATAAAACGGATATTTTTATTTTATAGAAATGAGGAGAGAGAATCCCGAAAAATCAAGTAAAATGAATAGGTCTTCTTCCAACTGACTACATTGTAATACGTTATGACTACTTCACACATAACTATCGCTGAGATATAATATATGATGAATGTTATTGGAAATTATCTCACAATAATTTTCTAAAACAATTCTAACCAATTGTTCAATTTCTATATTTTTGTTTGAATGTTTTCGTTTTGCGGGCACGAAAAAGTTATGATTGACTAACCAATTAACGAAGTTTAAAGTGAAGATAATAATAGGATATAGTCCGGCGGATAAAGTTTTTTGATGAAATTTGTGTTCTTTTTTTTCCACAGATGTTTTCATGCAATACGTATGACATTCGGAGGACAACTTCAGAAAAGAGAGTGCAAAGTGCAAGACAAATTATATAATTTTAATCAAAAATCCATGCAATACAAGGTTATATTGAAAACTGAGAAATGAAGTTGAGTTAATTGAAATTCAGAAATATATAAAACAACACAAGGACATATTCAACAAAAGTAGGAATAACTTTTACCGAAAACAAAAAAAAGTAATTTCCATACTGAGATAACTTCGACCAAAAATCGAGACTTCTTCGGAATATATTTCTTTTCCCGCAGTGTGACACAAAGACACAAAGTAATTTTATTCAAAGACGAAATAGACTCTTTAAAACAATAATGCTATATACAGTATATGATAGACATTAGGCTTTCATATATCTTAGACACCAAACACCATAAAATGGCATCATCAGTTTGGATAATGTGAGTATAAGATACAATGACAATGAAACTCAATTTTCTCGAAACTATGTTCTGCAAGTTGTCCTAGTAATGTTCTGAGACAGCGATATAATCTCATTATTTCGTATTCTTTCTCTACGAAATAACTCATTTTAATCTAAAAACCAACAGAGATGATGAAAATGCCTGTTTTTTCCATGGCATTTTTTTGTGGCTATATCCATCTAAATGTTTGATGCAATGCTATAAATAAGTGAAAAATGGGCTTAGGGGACATTAGCAATAAACCATATAATATATTTGAAAAAGATTCTTCAAAAGAGTTAAAAATTTACAAATATACATGGTGTTTCTTAAAAAAATATATTTCACTCTATTTTATCATTTTGCGATTTGCATCTGTTCGTTCAAGAATTTGTCAAAAGATAGTTGAAATCCTACAACTGTCATATCTGAGGTTTTTTACACGGAAGCTGTAGGTAGGGGTCAAAATATAAGGAGAAAATTTCTACTTCCTAATGAATTCACGTTCTACCAGATTTGTGTTTTTTATAGTTATTGAAATAATTGTCATTTGTGTTTACCTTTCAGCTGGTTGTCTTGCTTTCTTATAAAATAATTTGGATCTACTTCAAAATCGATGTCCTTAAATGTTCTTGGTTGAACTGCAGTATCCTGAGGTAGTTGGACTAATCGTTGAACGGGTACTTCCGGTTCTGCGTAACATCCAAATAATAGTACTTATCGCTCATATATAATATTAGATGCTCGAAAAGTCAGTATCGAAATTTCAGTTGCTTATTTTTCAGTTACGTGAGAATGAAGACTTTTTTTCACAAGCATGTTTCCGGAAACGCTTCGTTACCGATTTACAGAGTGTTGAAATTTCAATATATTTTTTATTTTTTTTTATTGCTGTTTTATTCATCAAGATATTCAGGTCAGATTTGATTAATGGGTAACGTTTTTGAGTAAACATCATACAGTACAAATACTGTCTGTAGGTTAATCAAGGAGGTGGTACATTCATTATTTCAGATTATCATTATATTGATATTATATTTCATTGAGACGAGGAGAGGAAATCCCAAATAATCTGGAATAATGAATCATACAGTAAGCCGAGTGATTGTGAGAATCTACAGGAAGATGGTTTTGCCGCATAAACTTTTTTGTGGTGTGCCGCTGGTATACATTTGCAAATACGAAATCAAATTTTCATCCTTTTGTGATTTCCACACATCTATGACTTTTATCGAGAAAAAAATTTGGAATAATTTTTTTGTATTTTGCTAGATCTAATTAAAATTTTGAACAAAAAAGTGTATGAAACGAAAGAGGGCTTGAACTCTTGAGAAGTATCTCCCTATAAATTCTACTTATCACTGAATGTACTGTAGGTATGATATAAATCCTGAAACGTAATCTATATGTTCCCAATTTGATCTGGATATTTCAAGAACTATAAGGGAGCTATGAAAAAAAAAATTGAATATTCTGGAACTGCATCAGCGCACGAGAGGAAATTCCTATAATATATCCTGAATCTTCCACGCCCTGTTTGTTTTTTTTATCTCTTGGAGCGCACGGAAGAAAATTCCTATAATGTTCGAAAAACATCGTGCGTAGATCGGTATTCAAGCGGAATGACTGCAAATACAGGTTTATGGAAAAAAATCTTATTTTTATCTCGATACTGAATCTTGAATCACTCTGTAAATTAGGAAGTACATTATAGCTTACCAGAACAGTCATCAGTGACCTGTTCCCCTGTTAGTCTGAATTTCAAGTTCCCATATCTCCGTTCCAAGGAGCTTCTGTAACTTATTTCCTTGACTTTCTCATCATATCTAAAATTGAGTGTAACTGCAGAACAAGAAAAATACATGTTAATTCAACATTATCATAACTTTAGGGTTTATGGTGATTTCAAACTAGTTATATGGATACTTCAACTATATACGAATCCGCTCTTAGCCTATGTCCCAATAGTTATGACTCACCCTGTATATAATGACTCACTTGTTGAAAAATATTATTTCGTTCAACAAGCACGGAATGCTAGTGATTTACCACAAGAATGAAGTTTAAGTTCAATTGTTGACTATGTTTCTCACCCATATATCTAACATATCCATACCATAATTTTCGGGTTTGTGAATAGCAGAAGCTTGTCATAAATGTCATAACTGTATTCATAGATAGGGGAGATGGGGGCTGGAATAATTTGTTCAGAATGAACATATTCTGCCATTTGGTAGTGATCAACATTTATGGCGGTTTGTTAGATATCTCAATGTTGGTATTTTTTGGGACTTTCTAAGAATAAGTTTCCGTGTTAATAAAGGTAAATAAAATAATTCATTCCAATTTTGAATCATTGCTATATATATAATCATATTTCACTCACATATACACAATATGTACATATAGGTACAACTCTGATAACTTCAAATGGCTTCTATCGATTGAAATAAATATTTTATCAAAATTTGTTCTTTTATCTATTGTATTTTAGGGTTTTTGGCAGACATAACTAATGGGGTAATGACGGCCGGCCGCGATTACCGATCATGTATTGTGAGGTCTGCTTACACATAATATTATTTCTCCAGATTCCAAGAAGTGACATAAGATAAGCCAATAAAAGGAACAGCATCGTCTTCAGATCAGATAAGTAATATTGCTCTTGCAACTGAAGAAAATGGAAGACCACTGAGACAGGTAGCCAGATATTTTGGTTTAGGTGTGTGGAGAATTTGGGAAAAATGAAGAAATGTGGTTGAGGTGTATCATGTGTTTGAGTGGGACCCACAAAGCCTGCAAAAACACGAGAAATAATCAATTTCGACTGCGATATTTGTGCATAAATTCTCTTACTAACTGTCACAAAGGGTAAAGACGACCGCGACTGTACTAACTTGACATTCCTGGGGTAATAGGAAAGCATTCTTTTTTTTATATAATTTCACAAAATAAAATTTATTCGTTATATAAGTACAGGGTATCCCACATAACATGGGCCACCCCCTTATCTGGTAAACTATTATATATACAGAAAAAAGTTTAGAATAAAAGTTGTATTACTTCTTATGACATTCGATTTTTAGATACTGTCATTTACACAGGATGATTCATATGTCTGTGGCATATCACAAATACGTTTTTTCAAATGGAAAACCCTACATTGCATCATATTTTTAGATAGTACTCCAGAAGACGAGTTCAATGATATATAATAACATGGGTCTGAGATCACTCGTTTCGGATTTATACACGATCTTCTTCAATAAATTGCCAAATTTCGAAGCCCTATAGAAACGTTGCGAATGAAGTTTTCGATTCGCAGTTTCCGCTATAAATTAACAAAGTCTGTATATCATTCTGTTCTATGGTGAAGATTTAGGAATTTTCAATTTGCCAAAAGTGATGACGTATTTTGAAAACCAATAAATATCTCGAGATTTTCAAATGGAACACCCTATATTCCATTCCAAATTTGCATAGAGCTCAGGAAGACGAGTTCAATGATATATCATAACATGTGTCTGATATCACCCGTTTCGGACTTATACACGATCTTCTTCAATAAATTGCCCAATTTCAAAGCCCTATAGAAACGTTGTGAATGAAGTTTTCGATTCGCAGTTCCCGCTATAAATTAACAAATTTTGTATGTTTTCTTGATCCATGGTAAAAGTTTATGAATTTCGCATTGGCCAAAAGTGACGATGTATCTTGAAAAACGATAATTTTTCACAAATTTTCGAATGGAACACCACCCTATTTCATTCCATCTTTGGATGAAGCTCAGAATGACGAGTTCAATGATATATTATAATATGGGTCTGAGATCACCCGTTTCGGACTTATACACGATCTTCTTGAAAAAATAATCAAATTTCAATGGCAAAATTCTGACTGTTATCTTCATATTAGATACAAATTTTGTAATTTCTGTGAAACAATTCGTAATAAAGAGTTTTGAAATAAACGAATATTATCGAAATTTTTATGTTATGTTATACTATTATTTCACTGGAAAACATTTTGGAAATGATTGAGCACAAGTTATTACAATTAAATTTCACCTACATTTGACTCTATACGAGACCAATGCGGGAATATTCGATTAATAAAATGTATTTGAACATTTTTTTCGATTGTCTGATGCCTTATCAATTCGGATGCATTCATTGCAATAAATGTCATTTCCTCATAAAAATCGTATATCTTTCATACTGTTCAACATTTTTCATTGAATTCTCAATGAATAAACACTGGACATAAGTAAATGATCGAAGAGAAAACCAAAACTCAAAGTGGAATGACATGCCAACGTGAGCTGAGTAGGCTGTGCACTCATAGATGGGATTTTTGTTTATGTCATATCAATAGCTGTCAAACCCGATTATTTATTGTTGAATTGGTGCAGAGAAACTCTTTCAGAATGCATATTTATTCAAAGAAGAGAGATTTGACCTTTATGAGTGCTATTTATTAAAAAACAGAAATACTGTGCTGGCTTTGAGAGAATATCGTGACCGTTTTCCACAAAGTGTCGTACCAAACAAAAAAATATTTCAGAGAATAGAGAACGATATCCGAACAAAAGGTATTCTCAAACCGAATAAGAGAACTACAGGAAATGTAGTTTTGACCGAAGATCGTGTATAAGTCCGAAACGGGTGATCTCAGACCCATGTTATTATAGATCATTGAACTCGTCTTTCTGAGTTCTATGCAAATATAGAATAAAATATAAGGTGTTCCATTTGAAAATCTCGAGATAATTATTGGTTTTCAAAATACGTCATCACTTTTGGCAAATTCAAAATTCCTGAATTTTCACCACAGAACATGATAATATACAGATTTTTTTAATTTATAGCAAGAGTTGCGAATCGAAAAATTCATTCACAACGTTTCTATAGAGCTTTGAAATTAGACAATTTATTGAAGAAGATCGTGTATAAATCCGAAACGGGTGATCTCAGACCCATGTTATGATATATCATTGAACTCGTCTTCTGAAGGACTATCTTAAAATATGATAAAATATAGGGTGTTCCATTTGGAAAAACGTATTTGTGATATGTCACAGACATATGGATCATCCTGTATAAATGACAGTATCGCTAAAAATCAAATTTCATGAGAAGTTATACAATTTTTATTCTGAACTTTTTTCTGTATATATAATAGTTTACCAGATAAGGGGGTGGCCCAAGTTATGTGGGATACCCTGTACCTAATTTATTGATAAATATAAATATATGTTCGTCCACATGTTGTCTATCCCATCAGTCTGAATTGAGAGGTGGAAATAAGAAATTGTGAGAGTATTTGGAAAAATGGCTCAAAGGGGCCGCCGTTCCCCAACCCCCCCCACAGAACTCATGGTCTATGAGTTCTGTGAACCCCCCTAGGTGAGTACTAGATTCATCATTTTTACGTCATTTTTTGCCGCCTGAAATTCTTGTAATGATGGTCTAGTTCGAAAATAGTAATTATTTGAATCGTTTTGATGGGCATTCTAGATTGCAAAAACATGATGCTAATCAGATCAAAACTGATTGGATTAAACTTCGTCGGAATGAAATGTTTCCATTAGGTATTGGTACATGAATACTCTTCCATCTATGGACTGTAATCAAAACTCTGGAAGCCTCTGCAAACATCAGCAAGTTACCAATCACTCATATGAAAATACGAATTCCTGTTCTGCAAACTTACCCATAGATGCCTATAGAATAAAAGCTTAGCTATTCATATAGCTACTACCTTTTTGCGCTAGATGGCACAAAGATTCGCTTATAAAACTTTTTGGGATATCTTAGAAAACACTTATTTGAGTAGGAAAAATTCAATAATGAGTTGTTGCATAGATTAATGACTCTTCAAGTCATTAATATATGGTTTTCGCCATTTGAAGTGGAACATAATTATATTGTATGCATATACTTACATACGCAGGATGAAACTGAGAATTCAAACAAGCTCAAGGGGAAATATTTTAATAGGTAGGTGTTGACTCTTGAGGTAATTTTTTTACCTGTAATATACCGGTGTTTATTCAATTGTCAGTATTTCCCCGGTGCTAACGTTTTCATAAAGTAACTCTATAGTAGCTCGATAACTAATTGATTTAAAGTACAGTTGGAACAGAATTCAATCGTGCGTTCAGTTATCTCATAGATCTAAATTTAATATATGGTTATTTAATAATAATGATAATAATAATAATAATGATAGTATACACGGCATTTGAGTGATAAGAAGAATAGATTTTAGGAGCTTACAAACACCTATAAATGACAAGAAACTTTTATTACTTATATAAAATAAATACTGAGATAATGGAAAATCGCATTCCGCCAATGGGACAAACACGTCGATTGTTTTTTTCAGATGCGATTTGTTGGTATACTCATATTTTTGATGACGCAATCATTATATAAATTACATCATTTACTCTTGTGAATACGGTCATATAACTTTGAAATATATGTTATTCATGAACCTATTATCGAAATAGGGTATTGTTAATTTATAAAATCATACTGACGTCATAACTTGTACACAAAAATTCGCAACTGAAAAAGAAAATCGATGTGTTTGAGCTTTTTTTCCACTGACCATATCGAGCTTTTATCGAATTTGTTCCAAGATTTTTGTGCTCATGTATTGAATATTATTGGTAGGTTTACAACTCACCTTTCCTTCCAGAAATATGTCCACAGAACATCATTCCATCCACAGCTAATGATTCAACAGCACACATGAGATCGAAGATTTCAAGGTACACGTTTATTTTACAGACTTCCTGTAACAAAATATTATACTCTCAGTTTGTAACATAAAACGTGAATGTAGGGTTACTCTATAACTCATATCAGCGCGACACGACGAGGTGCGAAGTGTGTGCTCGTATACGATTACATGGTTATTTAATTTTATAACTTTAACCCTGATCGAAATAATTCTTTGAGAAATAATAGATGGCGGTACCACGACAAGATCATCGTGTACCATCCGAAATCTCCGATATGGGCGTTGAGTTGTCCCAATTGTCCGCAGAACGAGAGCGACTAATGAGGCTCGGTGGGCCGAAACAGTACTGTATGTAGTTCTTGCCATTCACTATCTCTAGCTCCAGTTCTTTGTTATTTGTATAATCTTTTGTTCTATGATGGGAATACATAGATACAGATATATCATCAGATCAATGTTCAAGAAGAGAATTTTTTTCTTATGTTCTGGTTCCCACGAAAAGGGATATCCTGTGATGTTCAGAGAACATCGTGAGAATCAAGGAAAATACGGTAGGAATTGGTGTTCTTCTTAGATTTTTGGAGGTTATATACCTCGAGAACGAGCTCGAGGAACACCTCCCTTGGCAATGTGAAAATTGAGGCTCTCGGGAACATTACTAATTGACTCTTCTGCGTCCAATATTCTTGTCGGAACAGAAAGGCAACTAGTTCTTAGACAAGAGGAGAAAAAAGGTGAAATTTAGAACTTTTTCGTGAAATATCTTGATAAATAGTGTTTTGTTCACATTTTCATTATAGAATTCGTGTTTTTAGCACAAAAATACGTAAGTACCAAGAAGAGTTTTCCAAAAACAACTCATCGCGATTTTCATGACATCCCACTTGCAACTTCTTGACATTTATCATCCTGAAATTTTTATTTTTCAATTTTCAATGTAGAGTGCCCTGAATGAGTTGAAACATTTAATTTTGGATCATGTTGCCTAGAAAAAAAAGTTTCGATGGAGTTTTCCTTTTGATTTGTTCCACAGGGTCATTTAAAATTTACAATATCGTAGTTATGATGTTAATAAATTTTTTTCAAATAGAACGAGGGTGGCTCATTACTATATCTGGAAAAGATATCACACAATCAATATGTTGAATCAATATCCAGTATCATAACACTCTAGATTGAAAATTGAAATATGAAAATTTCAGGATGATAAATGTTAACAAGTGGCAAATGGATTGCCATTGTACCAGGTGATTCAATAAGGGTGGCGAGGTACTGTATCTCAGAAACTAATAGTCTATAAAACACGCCCCTTAGCGAGGACGGTAAGATCCCCAGAATGACATGTATGATTTTTTATTTCATTCGTCATACATTCCTTTTTTGATACAGTCCTTGTTGACAAAATTCTCAGCTTCTCAGATACAGAATCTCGTCATCCTTATTGAATCACCTGGTACCAATGTTATTATCAGTCGAAATAATTGAAAATATATTGGGTCCCATTTGAAATTTAAAAAAAATGAGTCATTCTTTCAAACAGAAAGTGACGAAAAACAATTGAATACGTCAAATAATGCAAATTTGTGAACTATAATAGTCACACACCGAATTTGATTCGTTCATTTATTGGAAAAATTAAGTTATAGGGGTGAGCCACATTTGAGAAACACCCGGTAGATGGTCAAATATGTTCGGAATGTTCTCAACTATCACCTCTTTCCAAATATACGGCGGTGAACCAAACACACTGTATACTACTCACCTCCGAATACTTCTGAATCCGGAAAGAACACCTCTGATTATCCCCTGAAACTTCAATCCGGAAGTTCTTTTCCGGGATGATCCGGTCACAGGAGGGCAGCGGGGGGGCTGAAGTCGTAGGACATCTGTCAGGATTAGGCGGGAAATCTGACTGACAGGCAATTTGTCGATATACCCCGGAAAATCCGCGGCAGCTGATTGCCGTGTCAGTGACGAAAGTCATGTCTTGGTGAGGTTTGTTGTTCAAATCGATGGTCACTAAAATAATAAGAAAACGACATATGACAAAAATGGCCATTTTTTCTCGAAATCAACCACACAAACAATAAGTTATATATAATGTTCCTCGAAGTATAGTCCAAACTATGACGTAATAGTTAACCAACAACACAAACCAGCTCACTGAGGTAGTTCATGAAGTAGTTAAGGCTGCTGATTGGTCACTGGATTGGGCTCTCAAATTGAGGTAATGTTTGAATATAAAATGATTACACAGGAAGGAAGGAATGCTCGAAGTCATCTCCACAAATTTTAATGATATTTTCAACTAATCATGAGGGACATGTTTCGGTCTTATAAAAGACCATCTTCAGCCTAATTGAAAAGTTTGGAGTTGAAAAATTATTTTCTGTCAATGCCCATAGTCGAGAGTTCCAAAATGAATATTGAATAAACGGGTTCTCAATAAATGAAGGGCCCCGTGCCCTGAGACCGTGTACTATGTTTTATTAAAGAACATTTCATATACCCAAAGTGGTATACGAAGGGTATTGTCAAACAATTTAATATCTGACAACACCATAAACTAGCGGGTTTTTAAAAAAGGGGTTCCCCGTTCCCTTATGAAAGCATTATTTAAAGCAAATATCAATAAAATTGATGGGGCAAGCAGCCAGCACGTGTTTCAAATCTAAACTCGTTTAGATATTAAATTGTTTGACAATACCCTTCATATACCACTTTTGGTATATGAAATGTTCTTTAATAAAACATAGTACACGCTCTCAGGGCACGGGGCCCTTCATTTATTGAGAACCCGTTTATTCAATATTCATTTTGGAACTCTCGACTATGGGCATTGACAGAAAATAATTTTTCAACTCCAAACTTTTCAATTAGGCTGAAGATGGTCTTTTATAAGACCGAAACCTGTCCCTCATGATTAGTTAAAAATATCATTAAAATTTGTGGAGATGACTTCGAGCATTCCTTACTTCCTGTGAAATATTTCACTCCACTTTGAGCAATATGGACTTCTACCAAAGATTAAAATGATTACCTTCTCAAGGAGATGATCATGGATTTATACTTATTTGCATTTGTTAATAGATGTTATCATATTATTGACGGAAAATGAAAAAATGATACTACCTATAGTACCTTTTTGTTACTGATGATGAATTTCTTATTTAATATTTGACTACTTGGACCAAATAGGGAAATAACCAATGGATAAATAAATAAGAACACCTGACAAACTGACATCTGTCAAGTTCCACAAGTAAACCGTGACGTCATAATGAAGTTCCCGTGGTGTCATAATAAAGTTGACCTGGTTTACCTGGTTGAGTAAGAGGAAAAATTACTAATGATATCGTAAAGTTTCCTTTGAAACTTCTCACAGACTTATCCACACTATATGACAAATAATATCAAATTGGATTGAAATAATAGTTATTTATACACCAAGGTAGTGAATTATATCATTATTACCCAGGGACCAAGATTATATCCCGAGGCTCCAGCCGAGGGGTACAAAGTTTCTTGGTGACTATTCCACTCTTGATCTCGAGAACCAATCAGAATCGACCATTTTCACGGTTTCTTCTGTATTCTAGCGATATTTTTTGTTTATTAAATTTTATCGGACTTGCTCTACCAATACAGAAGCCGAATTGACCCACACGTGACCAACAAACCTCGTTTATCAGCGATAAAATTTTGACATCGTGTCTGGTCAAGATTGCTTTGTATTCAAATCTGACACAAGAGACAATAACCTAAGTACCTACTTCATTTTATTTACTTATAATTCGCGTTAGTGAGACATTTTGTACGAAAGGCGAGACAATTTCATTCTGGCTGGACGTTTCATGTGTAATTTAATAAGTTTGCATATTTGTTGACGATCTGACAACAATACTAGAATTCAAATTCCCATTTGAAGTAATCTTCTTCAGTCACTCAAGTTATTGTGACCAATAAAATCCAGGTGATGTGGCTCAACTGATAGGGTTGTTGCGCGGTGATACGAAGGTCGGTTGTTCAAGCCCGTCGGCGACAATAATTTTTTTTTTAAATTATTTCTTGTCACATAAATTCAATTTATTTTGTTCGAATTGGATAGCAAATGTATAAACTCTTTTGAGAGCAACCATCTCCAAGATAATAAACAAAATACTGTTCATCAAAATTGTACATTCCACTTGTGAATTACTATAAGTAGGTAGGTAGTTAATTTCTAAAAAATTGAATTCTGTATTTCAATACTATCATTATGTTCTTCTTCGCAGTTTGAGTTGGAATATACTTAAATTATGTTTCCTATTTCTTATATATATTTTCTCATTCAATCATGAAATAGTCATACGAATACAACTCGTGATACTATTTTTCCTGGAAATATTCGTCGATTGACATACTCCAGCTTGCTGCTCTAATTTCGCTCATGACATTGTTCCAAAACTACTCGCCTACGGCTCGTAGTTTTGATAACAATATCATTCACGAAATTACTAGGCAACAAGCTGTCGTAACAATCACCGAATATTTCCGGCAAAATATTATCACTTGTGGTATTATATATGATAATATTCTTTACTACCAAGGTGTTTATTACATTTATTGTTACCACTAGCAATATATGTTAATCATTATAGTTCTGTGAAACTGGAATCTTAGACCTATTGTCGCTATGAAAGTATTTCTTTTCAATTCAAATTAGAATCTAGTTGCCATTGCCAAGACAATGACAGCATATTATGAGGAATCGTTATTGATAAATACCTACTAGACTCGAGTGCCATCGCAAATCTAGCATCAGAACAGAGGATTAGGGATAGTTATAACAGATGACTATGTCTTTATTGACTATAGTGGTTCATAAAATGATGAAGCACCAGTGGTCAGTTCGGCCTCCTTAATGACATGCAAATTGGCTCCCAAAGATTATCTAGATTAACAATGAACAATGTAGCACGATCTTAAATATTACCCTTTCCCACTACTGGGAATCGTGAAGAAATTCAAACTACAAAATGGGATATAAGGATGAAGTGTATTCCCAACGAGCACTTCGAGCACACCGAATTTGCTTCCGAGACCAAGTCATTTTGGGAGCCAATTTACCTATACTTTTTCAGCTTGCGGATTAAGTCTTTGTCCTCGGAAGCGAATTCGGTTGCACCCGTAAACACACACTTTACGCCTTGAAAAGGAGTGAATGATGACAAGTTCTATACCTATAGTGGTGAAACGAATTGAAAGTGAGCAATTGATCATACTTTATCAATATTAGTAGATCGATTATATTTCCTGTGAGTTTACATCAATATATTGGAAAATTTTTGTATATGCGGTCTTGTTCCAACAACTGATGCTTATTCAAATTTTATTGAACATGATACATTAACAATTCGAAGAAGAGAGATATGAGACAAACAATTATAAATAAATAAATCAATCAACAGAGAAGGAATGAAGAACAATATTAAATTGTTTACCGAGCGCACGGAATGGTAGTGATTTCTCACGGGAATGAAGTTTGCTGCAATTCATACGAGTGGGAAATAAGCATTTCGTGCGAGGAATACACTATACTTTTTTCACGGCTGTAACAGATGACAGGGAAATTCTTTATTTCCTCGGCCATCTGATTTTCTCTTGATAAATGCTCATATATATTAGACAGAGCTGTCATTTCTTGAAATTTGACACCACATGGGAAATGAGATTTTGTTTTTTTACACAATGAAGTCATTGTGATATCAGATACAGAAATGAAATTGATTTTATACAATAAAGTACCTTATTGATTTTTCGAAAACAGTGAACAAGACCGATTTTGTGTTATATAGCCGTAGAAAAACAATATTTCAGGAGAAATGAGTTTGTTTGAATTATTGGTAACTTGGTTATATTTCAATACACTCTTGAATGTGATCATGTGTTACAGTAGATTACATGATGTTCTCATATTTGAAACGAAGTTTCAACTATTTCTCATTCTTCATTTCTCTATTTCCGATGAAAAATTCAATCTTATAATATGAGTCACGATGTCAAGAATAGCTTTTCATCCGTGTTGTCGAAATCTATTATTCATATGTCAGAAAATGACATTCCTTCAACCTGGCGTTATTTTCATATTCGTCGTATGTAAATATAGAGGGTGGTTCTTTATATTTTAATAGGCAAAAATTATTTTTCATTTCAGAATTCAGTCCTAGGAAACCCAACGATTGAAATCCGTGTATTTTATTTTTTAATTCGGTGAAGCTCTATCTTCCAATTACAAATGAGTATATATACTTCATTGGAGTCATCTTTGTGACTCATATTATCAGAAGAATGAGCTCTGCCATTTAGGCTAGAAAATACAGGATGGTCCACTCAAAATATACCATTTATGTGAAATGTTTAAGTTCACTATTCTTTTTGCATGAATTCTGAATGATGCTCATAAAAAATACTTTATATCTGCCCATTCAAACGTCTTCGTAAAACAAACATAATCACAGATAGCTATTGAGTAAAATATAAACAATCACCCTGTACATACATAGGTTTTGATTATTCCATTATCATTATAATGTACCTATATGATATATTTTGTACAGATATGTCTTATAATTTCTTAACTATGCTCTACGAATGGTGTAATCAATAATTTTACATTCTTAAACAATTTTTTTCTTTTTCCTGATTTTAGACGGTTCAATGAAGATTGACTCACGTGTTTGTCTATTCAAATTGCTACCACAGTGTCTGTAGTAGTTATCTAAGGAAACAAAATCTTTATTGCAGCTGCGGCTATTTTCCAACTGAAAATCCACCATCAATATCCGTATTGCACAATATCCTGGTTGCTTTCTGAATCTGAAAATGAGAATTATGATATTACAGATGAATTACAAAAGAAGGAGAGGTGTCGGTTCTGAGATCTCTAAGAATAATCTTGATGAAATAATACACTTCGATATTGAGAGAGTAGCTATATAACTATGTAGTTTTAGAGAGTGCAGCTGAGATATTTCATGAAAATCTCTCCTTCTACAACTTTCAAACTTATAGAAATGTGAAAAACTTGACTCAAATGACCAACAGGAGAATTTTTCTGCTACTTTTGATCACAAAAATCAATATAAATATTCGTGAGTCATCGTTATATCCTAGAGATACCTTCCTGTAAAAGTTATAACGATGAAACTTCGTATCTAAGTCGTCGATGTGTCTTTTTTTGAATATTCTGAATATTCGAAGTGTTTTTCCATTGAATGACTACACTTTACCTTACCGCTACACCAGATATATCAACTTTTCATTACTCAACAACAATTGATAGTAGGCTTTTTGCATCTGAATATTCAAGATTTTCCGAATATTATTAAAAGAGCTCGTTGAAGTACCTACTATATTATGGAATTCTTGTTTCGGGAAATTGGTGAACAACAGGCTCCAAATCAGGAAAGTGATGCGAGTTTAAATCGCACATACTGTATATTGGAGAACTCATCGTCAGTCGTTAGCTGGCATATTGCAACTGATGAGGCTTGGTAAGAAGAAACAGTCTGTCCCTCATGATCCACAAAGCGCAGGTACGGCCTGTTCTAGAATACTGTTCCCACATATGGGGTTCAGTCCAAAACATACGCTGATGCTCTTAGAGTACATCCAGAGAAGAGCCATTCGCCTGGTGGGTGACGCCACACTCACTCACTTTTTTGACATCATTGGAACACCGTAGAAAGGTCGGCGACCTTTCACTTTTTTATCGATACTCCCACGGGAAATGTTCTTCGGAAATCTCATCCCTTCACTAACAATACGACGAACTAGACAAGCCCAGTCACGCAGTCAGCACATCCATTCGTTGTCAACCTCGAAAGATGTCGAACAGCACTTTATCAAAACTCCTTCATCCAATAGAACGGCTAGGCTCTGGAATTCATTGCCTGAGGAAGTATTCCCAACAACAAATAATCTCCAGAAGTTCAAAAAACAATCCAATACCTATCCTCCCTAGGAACGCACGAACTTAATAGGGGTTTTCTTTCGTGCGTTCCAAAAGCGATAGAAAAAAAACCTGACGATTGATCCTCGAATATCCCTCAGAATCTCTCAGTCTTTACATTCTAGGTTTCTTATCACTTTTCATTTTCATAATTTTAATGCATGTGAATGAACCCCAACCAAAGTTACTAGTAGCAATTTTGAATATCTATCTATACCATTAGACGGGAATTCATACAAAATAGAAATGTTTCATGATCTTTACTCACCTATAACACATATTCAAGTTTTGTGGATAATAATATGGGTATCCTGGACTCCTGAAATATCCTTCGAGGTAATCCAGTTCTACACAATCACTCCTTCCATTACTGCTTTTGTCTTCATAAACCTGCGTCTGCCTGCAAGTCTGTAAATTCCTACCATATCTCTCAAACAAAATACTCAGCTGGTTCTGATTCCAACTCTCACATTGATATTGATCGAGGCTTGTAACAATCGAGTTAATGCTCTCAGTGTCCACATATGTTGTCCTTTCAATATCCTGTGGTACTGCTGGAAGAGCATTATAATCTGGTTCAGCGAAGAAATAGACAGTTTTGACTACTTTCGGCTTATCTCTATAGTAGAAGTTCCCATCATCATCCGATATCTCAGATCTTTCATTCACGAGCTGAAGTTTTTGTACGGAAGCTTCTTGAGCATTCCTCAGCCAATCAAATCCATTGGACAGGTCATTTGAAAACTTCAGTTTCCTAGATGAATTCCATAATCTATTCCCGAGAGTGTCAGCCGGGTAATATTTCCTAGGGCATTCATCTTGTATGACTTCAACTACGAACCCAGATTGAGAAGTGAAGTTGATCCCTTGGCTCTTGAACGTAATTACTTTCAAATTGCTGTTATCAAATGTTGTAATAAGTCTCAATTCTCGGTTGCAGCCGCATATATATTTTCCATCAACCTTCAAATAGCCATAGGGACAGTTGTTTCGGATAGCTGATCCCATCCAGAAGAATTGGAAATTCAATCTGACCCTGCAGATGCCTTGGTCAGCTTTATGGATAACGTAGGTGCATTCAGTGTTCTTGTTCAGGCTGTACGGGAAGTTTGGGCTTGTCAGCAAAAACATTTTGGAATTGAAGGTGTTTTGACAACACCGTGGTGGGTCTTCAACGAAAGTAGGTATGTTGAATGGAACGAAGGAGAGTGGAGGAGATTCAGTCTCATATTGGGTGGTCGTGATCTAGAATTATAAATGTAATTGATAATGATCAAGTTCGTACGATGTATTAGGCTCGCCATTGTGATCTCATGAGTTCGTTTTGGAAATGAATCAATTTTCATTTCAGAATCAGAAGGAAAACATTTTGCTGACCTCTCAAGGCGTAGAAGTACCATAGACAGGTTTATTCGGGTAAGATGTTGAATAAACTATACAATGAAGATATTTATCAAATAGACACCTTTTTATTTGAACAATGAAATGTGAATCGAGAAGAAAATTAGGTGACTGAAAAATTTGTGAAAGAATTCGATTTTTTGAGTAATATCACGATGTTCTGTGTATTCGAGATAATTTTATTCTGTCGCTTCATTGTTCATGATATTGTGTTGCCCAGCAACCCCACGAGTCCGTCACGTCGAGTGGTGTTGGTATGGCCACACAATTCAGTTAACAATAAAATACATGATCATGGAAAGATATTCAGAACAGAGTGGTATTTTGCTAGACTATCTCACGTTCACGAAGCATAAGAAGCATTATGAGTGATTCGTTCTGAAAAGTACATCCATAATTATTTTATGCCAAACAGACAGACTTTGTTTCGCTATCCATGGGTACATCCAGACTTTCACTCGCTATTCATGGGTACATCAATGCTGATAGACCAATCAGATTTGAAATACAGCTGATGTCTTCGCGATAAGAACACGTTGTCTATGGATTGTGATTGGTCTGATTATGTGATGAGTGAAATAGTGATGAGTAATATCACGATGTTTCTGAATATTCGAGATAATTCTGTCGCTTCATTGTTCACGAAATTCTGTTGCTTCTCGAAAATCTTCGAGTACATTCCTAGAGCACTTGAATGATTTTCTGGAATCACACAATATTTTGATATCCATACAGCTTTTTTTCCGCTCTGGAAAATCGACTTTGCTCTACTAACTTTTTATGGAAACATTATGGAGTTCATTGAAGCGGGCGAGTGCCCAGCTGCAATTTTATGTGATTTGAGCAGAGCTTTTGACTGCGTGAATCACTTGAAACTGCTGGATATGCTGGAGTGTTATGGTCTGAGGGGAAATTCACATGCTTGGGTATCCTCGTTTTTCAGCAACAGAACACAATGCGTCTCATTGAAATTTGATAGAGGTGGTGTGATTTCATTCGTTACATCAGAAAATGAACTGGTCCGGACTGGTGTGCCTCAGGGATCTATCTTGGGGCCGGTTCTGTTCCTACTATACATCAATAACATCGATAGAGAAATATCATATTCATTATTTACAGCATATGCAGACGATATTATTATATTCTCAAGTGAGCAACCTGATATTTTAACACACAAATGCACAGATATCCTGGATTCAACTACTGTATATTTCAACAGACTGGATCAATTTTTGAATGCCAAAAAAACTTAGGTGATTCGTTTTCATAATTATCAAAATAGAACTGGAGCACTCAAACTGAATATTGATAATACCACGTGACAAAGCACCCTCAATCCAGTTAAATTCTTGGGTATGCAAATGGATGAATATCTGAACTGGATTCCACACTGTGAACAACTGGTTTCAAAATTGTGCTCACTCATCTATCTCTTTAGGAATCTGAGAGTCGTTTTGAATAAAAAGCAACTCATCAGTGTATATTATGCTCAGGTTGAGTCTAGTTTGTGTTGTGATGTTTGCTTGTGGGGCAACTCAACAATAGGTAGAAACGTCTTCATTGAATAGAAGGCTATTTTACGAAGTATATTCAATACTCCTAGACGTTCTTCATGTTATTCTATTATTAAAACAAAAAATTCCAACGTATATTGATATATGGAATTGCAGTCGTTTATGTATTTACTTATAAATCCGACTTCATTCTGAATAGCGATATTCATGATGAGAACACTCGTCAAAAAAAATGATACATGTCAAAGCTGAAAAAAAATTAAATTACTCAAAATGCTCCTAAATGCATTGGACCTAAAGTCTTTAATGATCTTCCAGAAATCATCAAGAGAGCCGAAAATTTATCGATATTCAAAAAACGTCTGAAGTCGCTTTTGTTGGTCAACTGTTTTTACACACTCGATGAGTTTTTATCTAGTCCTCTGTGATTCACTCTACTATGTATACGTGCTATATATTGTTTCGACCCATAACCCCTTTTGCTTGTTTTTATTCATTCAATATCAGTTATAAGTTATAAGTGCTGACTATTCCTATACAAAATGACAAATTTTTGTCATTTTAAGGAACATAAAAGTAAAAAAAAAATAACACCACGAGTCCCTCCATATTCTCCAGGTTATCTATTTTCTATCAACTGACATATATGGTGTATGTAATGTAACGCATTCAGAAGTGCAGAGTTACTAGCGAATTGGTATTTTTTCAGAAAATTTCGATGTAAATTGCAGTACATAATTTCACTGTTTCTTTGGTGTGGAAATGATTCACCTGAATACACTCCGTGTATAATAACATGATTTAATGATGTCCATAATAATATATTTGGAAACACTGTCGGTGAATATTCTTTGGCAAATTCTCTTTCAAGGGCCTATTCGAGTTTAAGATTGTTTTGTGTTATGCTGTCTATATGGAAAATTGTGTTCAATAAACTTCAATAGCAGGTATGTATGTATTTCAAGAGGTATTATTTCCACGATGAAGTCCCAAGTAAAATAATAATCTTCTATACATTTCAGAGACAAATAACTACTCCAAATATGTCTCGGCTCTTGCTAAATTGGATATAGAAGAATTCCTATATATGTGAAACTCGAACAGAGTGTGGGTATGTATGGAAATATTGAGATTAAAGAATTTAGTTTTCAGAAATTGAGATTATGCAATATGTTATACCTGGGTCCTATAGGTCCTAGGAATCATTATTCAACACAATGAGCTATCTAAATTCATAGCTAATTAGTTTTAAGGTTGCAATAGGTACACAAGGTAAATAATGCTTCATAGTCTTTATAGTCTTTATAGACATTATTTAATCAATAAATTAATTATTAAAATGTTTCCATTTCATATATCGGTGATTCGATATAACAATCATGGACCATTATATTGAAGATATGGAAATTTCAATAGGCAGTTTTTCACCATAGAAAGGTAATATAATTATTTATATGAATTATTTAGGCATTTGTTGGGTGAAGTTTCAATAAATCTGAATTTTTTCATATGATTTCAGGAATGAGGTGAAAAAGTCCATAGACTTAATGCAGTTGATATGAAAAAAAATTCAACTGTTTTTCCTTGAGCAGGCCTTTCTGAAATATTGAAGTCTATAGATCATTTTTTAGGTTGGAAACAGCTAACTGAAAATTTGATATTTTTTCTATTATCCTTCATTTCTCTTCTCCAAACTTTTTTCAATACAAATTGTCACTGACAAGCTAGTGATTTTTTTTAGGCTCTCTGATAGGAAAATGTCCTTGCTACACGTATATTGAAATGATATTCATATTTTCATTTTATAGAAACGAGGAGAGAAAATCAAAAAAAGTCTGGAATAATGAATGTACCACTTCCTCGATTAACCTACAGACAGTATCTTCGTATTCGTTTGAAATAACCCTATATCAAACCCATCTTTTACGATAATCGTTTCCGGAATTATCGGAAGTGATGTGGGAGTATGAAGTATTGAAAAATATTACAATTTTTGCATTCACCAGCCCTACCAAGTTAGAATATCATACCTTCAGAACTCTGAAAACTATGACCTGTCTGATGAATTCGTTTACACCTGGGATTTTCCAGTTACAGAATTTTCATTTGGAATAATAAAATAAGTATTCACATGAGTTGAAAAATTCAACCTGTATTTGATCAATCTCAACTATAATTGTTGATAATTCTCTGTCGAAATTTTCACCATGGGAGATTCAAGCAGTGGGCCTACTTACAGTTTCTGTAGTGGTTAGTTGTTCAGCTTCGCAATCTGAGCGCGTCACCAAAATTTTGAAACCCCTTTCAGGCTGATCAAAAGCACCGTCAGACTTGAATCTCAACTGCAGCGATCCGTTTTTCGCAAAATATTTCCTGTTCCGGATTTTAACTCCGCAAAGGGCATCTTGATCATCTATTTCCAGCCTCTCATTGACACAGCCTACCGAATCTTGCAGATTGAATTTGATGAATTCGAACTTGTAGTAAAGTGGGCACACTTCTGGAGCTTTCAGAAGATAGAGACAATCGAGGCTTGCTGAAGATTCCTCGGAATTTAGTGGCGATTGCAGGATCGAAAGCTTTTCTGTGAATTCACCACCACATTGAATTTTTGTCGTTTTTTCAACGACAGTTGCATTATCGAAAGTACTTGCTGCACTACAGCAAAATAAAATGAAGAGTAACAAACTGAGATTCATCGTGCAAACTGTCGAAATTGGGAGTTTTCGGTGTTATTAATGGTTTTGGTTGATTCATAGCTAAGGCAAATATTAGGTTATAGTGTGTGAAGAATATCTTCAACAAAGGATAGTCACCGTACAGGTATGGACTCAACATTTCGAGAGTTCCTATTCATTTAATTTCTCAATCCAAGAAAGAAACATATTTATGTACGCAGTAGAGAAGAACCTCAATGATATCCATATCCCCTTGATGTACAGGGGGGCTGGAAATTTGTTTCATGTCTTGGAGCGCACGATAGGAAATCCGTATTATGTTAGAAAAACAGCATGCGTACCTAGGAGAGATTGGAAGATGAGGTAGGTATTGACATTCTTTCTGAAATTTCGGAAATACTTCCGTTGGCAAAGCATTCCAAAGTTTAACCGTTCTACATACTTATAAGTATTGGAATGAAAGATAAAACTGATGAAAAAACTTGCAGTTCTTTCTCGGTGACGGTGATATTGACTTATTTTTCGGAACTAGTACAGAAAAAGCTATCAAAAGTTTGTATATATGATATATATGTGTGATATATATCCGGGAAACCAAAACTCACTTTTTTCTCGTGAGAAAAAGTAGATAGAGAAAAGTGACATTTTATAACCTGTTCACAGAGATGAAATGTCAAACTTTTTTCCCGTGACAGAAAAAAAAAATGTTTTGATGTGATGTGACTGATTCTCGGACTCAATTGATTCATCGATAAGTGACACAAGATATGATTTTTCAGAAAAAAATATGTTTCTTTTTTATGTGCTATTTATTGTTAATGTAGCCTTGACCACATCCCTAACAACAAGACTTCCCAGGGACGTCCCCAATTTCAAACTAGGACATCCCAGGGATATTCTTTTTGAGACAAAGTACATACTAGGGACATCCGCTTTCAGACAAAAAGGACATCAAAGGGATGTCTCTTCTGGTACGTCCCTGGGATGTATCAAGAACGAAGATGAGATATCCCTAGGACGTCATGAGAATATCCCAGGGACATCCTTTCGACAAAAAAAAATGTAAGTCGAGTAGGGATTGAAACCGGGACCTTCAGCTTATCAGGCACGCACCTTACTCTATTGGCTAATATGCCTCGAACAGATTTGTAAATAGGATTCGGGTATAATCATTATCATTCTTGGGTATTTAAAAATGAGGAGCATTATGCATTTACGATTTCTGTTTTCGAAAAATGGTAATTTCTCGAGAATGTTTGAAACTATATTCTCTATTTTTATTACAATTATTTTCCGTCAGAAATACATTTTCGAAAAAATTTAACTCAATATTCTGATGAATTTCAATTAATCTCTCATGTGAATGGATATCAGATATTCCAGGGACACGAATGGGATAACCTAGGGATATACCGGGCGACAACAACTGCGGGACATCCCCTGGATGTCCCAATCATGTCCTTGTACCGCGGGACAAAAAAGGGACGTACCTAGGACATCCCTGTGTTGTTAGGGTTCTCATTTCTTTCTCCACGAGGTTAAATGAAGAAAATAGCTTGAATTTTTCGAAAACAATGTATTTGACATGCAGATTGCACTTGTTGGAAGAACAAAGTGGCAGGCATTTCTAGAAGAATTGGAGGTAAGCCATATTGGATCCTAATATGATAAAAACCGAAATGTTTGTTTATATAACTTTACTAAATTTCAGAAAAATCCGTTCATGAATCCAGAAGTTACAGGGGTGGCAAGATACCCCGTATTGCAATACATCATTGCGTGAAAGAATTGATAAGGCAAGAGTTTAAAGGCAAAACCATTGTAATCTATTCAGATAGCCAGGCGGCAATCAAAGCAGTCAACTCTATGCAAGTTAACTCAAAACTAGTATGGGACTGCTTAGAAACCCTATATGCACTGGGTAGTCAGAACAGATTGACTCTAGCATGGGTACCAGCACATACAGGGTACGAGGGCAATGAAGAGGCAGACTCACTTGCCCGAGCAGGAGCAAACAGAGCTCTTAATGGCCCAGAACCCTTTTGTGGTATTGCGAAAGCTATACAAAAGACTAGTATCAAAACATGGATGCAAACTGAATCTCAAGAATGGTGGAACAACTCGCCAGGAATGCGACAGGCAAAAGAGTTTATTAAAAAACCATCGCCAACATTCACAGAATATCTACTAAGCCAGAAACGAAGTTCAACTAGAATACTAGTGGGACTTCTCACAGGACATTGTAGGCTCAACAAACACATGAGTACGATAGGTCTGACTGAAGAACTGCTGTGCAGGTTCTGTCAAGAAGAGGAAGAAACAGCAGTACACATACTTTGCCACTGTGAGGGCTTGTCAAGACTAAGGTTCCTTACGCTGGGTGAGGAAAAACCAGGAGCCCAGAGATACACAGGAGATCTGAAAGCTAGCCTATGGGGTCTCATAGAGAAGGCGGGGCTAGCCGAAGAACTCTAATCCATTTTGAGGGTAGGCACAATAGATCTGAAAAGGTCGCAGTGTGGAGGCAGATAGCTCGAAGGCCCCATTCCAAATCTAATCTAATCTACCCCGTGTCACCCGTATAAGCATATCTTATGGCGATTATATAACTATTCCACTCATATTCATTTCGGAAATTGATATCAGTCAGTCCCTGTACTGTTCTCTTCGTTGAACTTCCTCAGGAAACCATTAATGTTTGATCGGTTCGAAACGAAGGAAGTCAAATAGCGTGACTTAATGGGTATTTTGCATGAAGAAGATAAAATAAATCATATCGGAGTGTCACAATCTCAAGGGTAGATGTGGAACTCATATGGAAATATTCTGATATTTTGAGATTTTCGAAATGAAAATTCATCAACATCAACAAACTTCGTCAAATTCCGAAATGTATCCTTGAGTTCTTCCAATAGACAACTCAGATAGATTATCAATATATCTGAATATTTGAGATAATTCTGGCGCTTTGTTGTTCGTGTTGCCGAGGTATGCTCTACGGTAACACAATTGAGACAGCATTATACAGGGTGTGGAATTGAATACTTTCATTGCGAATATCTCGCGAAGTAATGAGGTGAGGAAAACGCCATTTGGCACGATGGCTGAAAAGTTAGGATAAACTGAAACCACCATATTTCAGTGAAGGCACGAGTCACCCCTTAGGCACGACACACCTCTACTTCAAATAAGAGAGAGACAAAGAATTATACTTTATTGTTACACGAAATACATCATGGTTACAAAGCATGTAGGTCGACAGTACCTATAAGGTCAATATGAAATAGTAAAATATTGAAAGAATGTCACATGTTACATGAATAAATAGAAATAAGATCATATTCGAGATCATATTATGTTCTTCCTATTCAATGTTATTCAATGCAGTACTATTTTTGCTATGCCATATGATAGTGTGTGGTCTGCAAATAATGTGAACTCACCGGAGATATTGATATTAGTCATATCATCCACGTATAGCAAAAAAGGAACTGCTACGAATATTGAATAAATTATCTTGCACGAAATACAACTCTTCCCTTCTTTGGTATGTATACACGTGCACACAGCTCAGCAACCCTCACTAAAAAGGAACTGGACCAAGGACCGATCCCTGAGGAGCCCCACAACGCTAATCCCTCATTTCGAAAAGTTGTCTATAATTATTATATTCTTCATCATATCCTTCAGCCTTAGAAGTGCCGTTCCCTTATCAAAGGTGGGTTGGATGTTTTGACAGTATACATTTCCATGAATTCCATATTGTAGTTGAATTTTGTCTTGTCAAATTCATAAAGATATCAATACCTACTTTTTCCTACGAGCGTACTTTTCCGCACTCATTTGCGTGCGCAAAGTAATACTTTTCCGCACTCAGTGCGGACATGGGTGTCATCCGCACGGCATGCGGATAAGTAAAACTTCCCAAAAATCTCACTGGAATGGAACATTTATATTCATTAGTTGCTGTAGAATATTCTATGCACTATAAGAAGCCGTTATCCCTTTCACTTTTCAACCGTTCTTTCCGATATTAGTATTTCACCTCAATATAAATATTAGGAACAAATGATTCAATTTTCTATCATTATACAGGGTGTCTGTAAGAGGTCTTAACAAAAACATACCACATATTCCGTAGACCAAAATTAGTCGATTTAAGTGAAATTACCTCAGTACAAAGTTGCATCGTTTGGGCTCCAGAGGGCCTGGAAGTTACAATTTTTAAATCGTTTTTCCCATATCAATTCAAAACGGCATATGCGTTTTTGCTGAAATCTGGTATATTGACAAAGTTTTATGTGGCGAAAGAAATGGTGTCAAAATTTTTTCCGATATTAATCCATAAGCGTAGAACTTGATTTTTTAAATAATTGCACCTTTGAAAATTCTACGCCAATGGAAGAACAGGAGTTTGAGTATGAAATTTAGATTGCGCAACTCATTTACTCTATAAAAGGTACTCTAGATAAGACCCAATTGCTCTCATGGCTTTGACGAAATTTGCATTTTAGTAATTTTAGAACATAAACAATAATTATTAAAACACAAACTTTGTCAAAACCATGAGAGTAAGTCGAGTGTTATCAAGGGTACTTTTTCGTAGTAAATGAGTGCCCAATCCAAATTTCATACTCAAACCCCTTTTTTGAGCCATAGGCGTAGAACTTGATTTTTTAAATAATTGCACCTTTATAAATTCTACGCCGATGGCAGAAAAGGGGTTTGAGTATAAAATTTGGATTGGGTACTCATTTACTACAAGAAAGTAATCTTAATAACACTCGATTTACTCTCATGGATTTGACAAAGTTTGTATTGCAATAATTATTGTTTATGTTCTAAAATCACTAAAATGCTAATTTCGTTAAAACCATGAGAGCAATCGAGTCTTATCAAGATTACCTTTTCCGAAGTAAATTGGTTGCGCAATCTGAATTTCATACTCGAACTCCTTTTCTTCCATTGGCGTAGAATATTTGAAGGTGCAATTATTTATAAAATCAAGTTCTACGCCTATGTATTATTATCGGGAAAAATTTCAACACCATTCCTTTTGCCACATGAAACTCTGTCAATATACCAAATTTCAGCAAAAACGCATATGCTGTTTTAAATTTATATGGGAAAAACGATTTAAAAATTGTAACTTCAAGGCCCTCTGGAGCCCAAACGATTCAACTTTGTACTGAGGTAATTTCACTTAACTCGACTTATTTTGGTCTAGGAAATATGTGGTATGCTTTTGTAAAGACCTTTAACAGACACCCTGTATTTTATTGATAAGTAATTGTTTGTTGTTCAGCTATTCCTCATCTGATATGGAGCTCGTAGGAAAAATGTGATTTTCTATCATTATATTTTATTGTTATAAATGATTGTTGTATAGTTACATTTTTCAATAAGTTATAATTTTTTTTATTCTCCTTTTTATTTGATATGAAACTCGTAGGAAAAAAGTTGTTCTTAACACGTGCACAAAGTGTCTTTTCCGCACGCAAAAACTTATTCGAACTCCGCTCCGCGTCGTTCGCCTAACTGTATTTGTGTGCGGAAAGGTGAAACTTTGCGCACTTGTTAGGAAAATAACTATTTTCAACAAACGTCAAGCAATGACATAAGGTCCGCGCATTGATAACGAATTGCGAAGTGACACCTTTTTTTTCAGTCTCCTACGTTACCACGACATCATTTGTGAAGCACTGTGCGAAGTAAAACGATGCATCACGAAGTACATATACTTCGCGCAATGTATGTAAGCTATATGAGATTTTTGTATTCAAATCCTATGTTTCCTAATCGAGCAAACATCCAAGAAACCATTTTTTTCTGAATGTTTGACTTTGATTTTTTTTTCTCTTGGAGAGCACGAAAGGAAATTCCTATAATATTCGTGGAACGTCGTGGGTACCCAGGAAGGGTAGGGAGAGACATTTTAAGCCAGTTCAAAACTATTTTTTGTATTACGCTGAGCATATTAGAAGTTTATAACTATTTTTTTATGTTTGCAAAAAAATGCTGTTTGCAACTCGTGCGCAAAATACTTTGATCATCTCGAATATTTTTTAAACTCGGCTGCTCCTCGTGCAAAAAATAAAATCTAGATCACCAAAGTAGCATTTTGTGCACTATATACAGAAATAATGTCTTTTTCGTTCAAAAATATCCTTGATTTTTGTCGATCACCTCTTTCCAGGTTGAAGTTGAATGACAGTCTATCAAAAAATATATAATATATTAGAACATCAATTGTACAGGCAGATTCGAATATAACGAATGTTCTGATTTAAAACTTACCTCTATATAACTTCATGATTCAACAAAATATTTCCGTATTGATTCATTATATTACACAGATACCTATATCCAAGAACTTATGTATCTACTTATCATAGGAATCTTATTAGGCTTAGTAATAAATAACAAACAGATCTATATTTCTTTCGCTTCTTTCTTCCAGTAGAATTTGGCCCTCAACATATTTTCATGTCCATGAAAATAGTGCACAGGAAGAAGACGAGCGCAGTTTTCAAAAGTTGACGTAATAAATGGAACCTGGAAGAGAAAATATAAAATATTATATAATTATCAACAATTATTACTGAAATTTGTAACCAAACAATGAATTATGAATAAATTTCGTGGGGTCAGAGGTTGTATTATCAGGTAAGTATACTCAATTGCAAAAGCTATGGTACTTCAAATAACCATCAACTAACCTGATCAGCATGCACGAGATTATTTGTACTGTGCAAATTTGTTTGTCCGTTTATGTATATCTTGGTCGATTATAGACCAGTGCTGAAGCCTTTGGAAAAGGTGAAATGTGAAGAAAAATCAAAGTAGGATGAAACTCATTGGAAAAGCTGGTCAACACCCTGTAGAGAATTATTTGGTAGCACAAGTACCCAAATAATAATTTAAAAAAACTCTGATTGAGAGTTGCTGTGGCGCCCCTTTCTAAAGTTCATATTCGAGGAATTGGATTTTCAAGTAACATGATTTTCTGATCTGAAAAATTCAAACCTACCTAGTGCATACCCACAAAGGCCTGTCGTTCGTATGTGCCAAATATTTCATTACAAAAGAGGTAGAGGTTAGACAACATTGTAAACTATTCACCTTTTGTGTTTTCCAACTGGTACTGGCTCCTTGATAGTTTTTGACCTGCTAATCTGGTGCAGACCCTTGACATAACGTTCGAAATATGTTTCCCAGTTTACAATTGCAAGAGAAAGAGGAAACAGAACTCGATCTCTCTGATCCATCTTCTTCCACATTTCTTTAACGTTTTGGTTTGTGAAGGTCCATGTTCTTGAATGGAATGGATACACCAAAGGGTAGCCATTTAGATATCTCTTGTATAAGCGTAACATCCTGAAAAAATAAAGAAGGTTCGCTTCGCCCCAAGAGCTGAAAATTAGACAGGTTGTCGCATAACTATGCAAGGTCGCAATTTACATGACGTCATCGTGCGTGCCTTACTGATCACACTCGATATGTCGAACGCGGTTACCTTATAGCCATTTTGCCTCGAAGTTAACGACACAAACCGGGTTAACATTATGTTAACCAGTCAATTTTTCTCGAAGTGTATAACAAACTATGACTTAATAGTTAACCAGCACACAAACCAGCTCACTGAGGTAGTTCACGGAGTAGTTCAGTAGTTAAGACTTTTGATTGGGCTCTTGTTGTTTTTATTATCTGAGGTTATATAACTGATATGATAAAATAATTATTATACTACCTCAATGGATTCATATCGAGTATTTTCAATGAGAGATCTCATTAAAATATTGATGAAAATAATTCATTGTAATAAACAATAAACAAATACAGCTGATAAATTGATATGTCAAACTTCAGACGGCGTCATCATGAAGTTAATCCGGTTTGTCTGGTGGGGTTCGAAGCAAAATGACATGTGAATTTTACTTCAATGAGACTGCTGTTTTCAATTCACCTGATTGAATTCTTGTGAGTGTGTGCTTTGGTATCGATATCTATCGATAAATCAATACATATCGATATTAATCAATATGTTGATATGGCACTACAGTTTGGGAAAACATTTGCATTTGACTAAGGACTTCATTTTTATGAATTCGTTTTGTAACTTCACTTCTGGGAATAAAATGCAACTGAATTCAATCTCATAGTTGAGAAAATATCTTTCAATTATACACTGATGAATAACATGTGAACCCGAAATGATACAATATACTCTGCTGAAGAATTCAAACTTGAAAATTATTACAGTGAAACAAGTCCTTTCTCACAATTAATACAAGTTCTGCTTTTTTATGCTTTTGTTCATTCCAATTCTTAGGGGGTACAGTCGTAGTTTTTAGAGTAAGTAGAAAATCTTACGTCTCTAGACGTTTCCACGACATCTCTGTCAAAACCCTACCTAACAAAATCTCGTTACATGACTACCTGACTCGTAAATATCAACATAATTCAATCTCCTATCATGCAGGCTGTATATATATATATATTAGTGACTACTTAGCTTCCGATGAAATGCATGGAAGCTTGAATTTAGTGGTAACCGCTAGAGTCTCGTTTTCGAGAGTCTCGCATGTTCTCGTCTCGTTTTCGAGACAATACTCGAGACGAGACCCGGACAAGACGAGACGAGACTTTTATTGGTCTCGTCTCGAGTCTCGTACAAGACTTCTCGTGTCTCGTGCGAGAGTCTCTCAGGTAAATATTTCTGCGTGACATCTGCAGACTTGAGAATTTCATTCATAATACAGCATATTTAGAAATAATTTAGACTATTTGACACAGATAGACAAAACATTTCATTCATAAATACTTCAAAAACACAATCCATAATTGTTGTAAAACGACGTAATGCGTGAAACGAAAACGGACTATTTTCTCTCTTACGGCGGAATAATGTTGGATTAAAGTTTTTGTTTTGTATACGTGTTATTTTTTATTTTATTTTTATAACTTTCTAATATATAATGCTATGTTTTTTTTTTGTTTAGATGTATGATGTTAGTATGTACCTATTATGAATTGTTCCAAAATTGTTCTATCCGTCATTCGGTTGCTTCCTTACGAGCAACCCTCAGAAGTCTTCGTGGGTCTTGTGCGAGCAAGGAATGACGGGGCCCTTACCTATTAACGTGTGATCCCAAACACTTTCTTGGGCCATCATAGAAATTTCTGCAGTCGATGGGAATCGAACCCACGACCGGCAAGCGGATGCGGATCAGAATATTGACACACTTTTCGAAAAATAATGTTATTTTTGATGTGATACTCTTTTCCTACTTCTACATCATATCTGAAATGTAGTTAAAGGTAATTATCCCGTACTAGACTGATGGAACAAGATTATGCATGACGGAATTGCGATACATTTGCGAAACTCCCGTACGAGACGCGAGACAAGACGAGACTCGAAGCTGCGAGACAAGACTCGAGACAAGACTTGATATTTCATCGGCGAGACGAGACGAGACGAGACTTTATGAAAGTCTCGTCTCGTTTGTCTCGTGTGAATCACTACTTGAATTTAAACAAACATTAAATGTACTTTCCATTGGTTACTTGAATTTCAGTAAGAGGTAATATCGCTTATTTTGAATCGCCTATTGCCTGTCTATCCATATCGAATTGAAAGAAAGTTTCATTACATTTCAAACTATACATGTTTGGAGTACGAATATTGTTGCATATTTACTGAGATTCAACTGACAGGGTGTACTGTGACTCCATGACCGTAGCTCAAGGGCATATTCTTTGAACAATTCCAAGTCAAAAATGCCTCCTTAACTCAAAAGTTCAGGGGTTATGAGCAATCAAATAACAACTTTGCTCATGGTATATAGATCGCAAGAGGTGGTCCAGTTCTTTGGTCACCGAGGTTAGGTTAGGTTGTCCACTATTATACAGGGTGTATTCAAGTAACACTAAAAAAACTCAAAGGTTGTTTCCTTCTGATATTCTAGCCAATAGAGTTCATATGACCATATGTCCTAACTTGCTCCTTTTTTGAGAAACAGGATGTTGAAGTTGAAAGTAATAACTGTCCTATTTTCGACCTGTATGAGCTTTTATGGTGCCAAAATTCAGTATGGATAGAGACTGAGAAAGCCCCAAAATTTCAAAATGATTCTAACACCTACATATAATTTGGAATCTAATCGAATTTTTATTGTTTCCTCAAAAACTAAGCTAGATACAAAAATCACACAAAGGATGAAAAAGTTGTTCAATAGTTCAATCCAATAAAATATGAAACTTAGAAAAACCCGTGGCGTATACAATGACATTCATCATGAATATCGATGAAACCCACTGTTACGGCACTGGATGTATTATTTCGAATCTAATTGCACCTGGAGAAGCTTCATATTATTTTTAACAAAACCATAACGTTTAATTGAAGTTGATGAAAAGACAATTGAGAAATGAATAGAAAATAGATTTACTTATCATGGAAATATTAATACACTGTATCTCGAAAACGATGCAAGTTAGGACACATGTTTATATGAACTTTATTCCCTAAAATATCACAAGGAATCATCCCTTGAATTTTCTCAGTGTTTTCGAGATGAACCCTGTATATGGGGACGCATCAAAGGCTCGTGTTTCCAAATAAACCACGAACCAGAGATGAGTTAATTAAAAATATTATGACTATAGCTGCATCTATGAGAGACGACCCAGATTCTCTTCAGGGAGCAAAGTTTTCATTAATTAGACGAACAAGAATATGTTCTGAAGCAGCCGAGGGACTACGAAATAAAGCCACAATGCTCAAAGTGAAATAAAATGTAAAATGAATACGATAATCTCAAAGTCATTTCCACACAATGTTCATAAAATAAACAACAGTGGTAGATTTCGCATTACCATGGAGCAGGACTCAGAGATAGCACGCCTATCGGCTAACAAAACTAGGATATTTGCCGATACGAAATCAGTCTATTAGATCCCAATCATTAGATCCCAATCACTCTCCCACACCTATCCCACCCCTCATCCCTCATAGTGTCTTTCACAGAGAAATTTCAAAAGTTGGTTTTTTATTTTTATTTTCCAACACAAAAAATGCTTAATTAGAGAGAAAAATGTAGCAATCGACGATCATTCTTTTTTGCCCTGGGCAACTCACTGACATGAGCTGGATTAAAGGTTTACTCCTAGGAGTCAGCTCCCTCATGACTGCCATCAGGGTTGTTAGACAAAAATCATCGGCAAGGCCTGCATCGGCTGCCTCTGAGGGCTCCCTTGGAGGGTAATTCTGTGGCGTATCTAAGTGTTCTACATTGTATGTTTTACATTTTTATCATGTCCAATGTCCCCTTTAGAAGATTTTTGTTCATACACCTTATATTGTAAAAATGTTTTTATTGAATGAATGGAATTGAAACGGTTGATTTCGGGATAAAAACAACCACTTGCCTGCATCGACTCGAATGAACGAATACTGGCTAAATTCAGATCGATAGGCATTCAGGAAAGAATCACTTGTATCAGTATTCGTTTATACGAGTCGATGCTTAGATTCCGGAAGTAATTCAATGTTCTCCGTAGCATAAGCCAGGGAAGTAGTTGTTTTTCTCCCGAAATCTACCATTGTTGTTCATTTCAGGAACATTGTGAGGAAATGACTTTGAGCTTTTTGTATTCAGTTATTTGAAATTTGTGTAAGTAATCATCAAATTCTAAATTGATGAAATATTACATATATACTTTCATTCAAAATTCTCTCCGCTTCATCACACAGTCTGCTGTTGAATTTGATATTGATATCATTGAGTGTATAGGGCACTGTTGACTTGAAATTGTTCAAGCAATATGTCCTTGAGCTATGGGCATGTCACGGGACACCTTGTATATCACAAGATTTCAACAGTATTCAACCCATTTGTTTTCGCCACTAATGAAGCAGAAATTTTGCAGAAATTTAAACGGATTCGTAGGGCACATAGAGTGATGATTCATGATTGACTGGAAAATTATGAGGCGACCTAAGGGCTTCGCGAGACCACGACCAAGAACAAGAATGGTCAGTTTTGGTCTTGATCTCGAAAAATAAATGAAGTCTTTGTCTTGGTATCGGTCTTGATGTTTCAAGACCAAGACAAGACTGGCACTGTCTTGATCTTGGTCTTGATAGTCTTGGACTTGGATCAAAATTGGTCTAGGAAATTGAATTATTCAATTCAAATATCCAACAGTTCATATGCATATGATAGTAATTTCGTATTTCTAAGTCTTTAAAATTGTCAATTTGTGCGTATTAAGTAAGCGAAATGAATTTCTCCTTTTACCATAAGAATATGAATCAGAAGGGGTGAAAGAACTTACAGTCACAACTCCACCACATAAACAATTTGATAATGGCCAACAATCATGGACATAAACAAGGATTTATCCTTCATCGTTAGCATAAAAAGAAAATCTGTGAGAAGAAACCATGCTTATGTTAGTTTTCAAGTATTGATTGAAGACCTACCATTATTGATGGAAAGAGGTTACGGTTAAAAATAGTTTTTCATGTTCTTCAATAAGTAATCTTTCTCGAAACATGTCCTTATGTCCATGACCGTTGATCATTATTGAATTGTTTATGTGGTGGAGTTGTGACCGTAAGTTCTTCAACCCCTCCTGATTTATATCACCTACCCTGTAAGTTATGGATCACCTACGTTGATCAGAAACCCAAACCCAAACAGCAATCAGGCCGACGACCGACAGGTCAGGAAAAAGTTTCAAAAGGGTCGGAAACAACGCATTATCAAAACATTTCGAAAAATATCAAATTCAAACCAAATAATTTTTTTATTAAATTTGTTTATATCTCCAATAGGAGGAGGTGTAGACCACTGTGACGTGACAACATAAACCTATTTGTTGTGAACATTAAAAACAATAGTGAATTCGAAAAATGTATTTCGGATTTTGAGTGATCAAAAATGAAAAACCTAACATATGACAAATGAATAACTGAAATAAAATGCTATTACATTTTCCATCAGATTTTTCTTAATATAGAGTAGATTTCAGTTCATTATTTTACATTTGAGACCAAAAACATGACTCTCGGTAGAGAGTTTTGGTCTTGGTCTTGAAGGTCAAGTCTTGGCCTTGGGAATATTTATTAAGTCAAGTACAAGACCTATATATAGGGGACCTATCGAATTGAATCGTGGAGTCAGTTACCTGAACTTTTTGTTGACGAAAACGGCGTAGATATCATGAAGAAGAGCAGGAATCAAATGTAGCGATACCATTAAAATCCAGAACATGATAATGTTTGAAGGATATATCACCATAATTCTTCCGCGAGATTCATTTGTCAGTTGCCGTTTTGCTTGGACCGCCGTCATGTTCATGATTTCTTTCCAACTGATTGGATTATCGTTGCCACTTACGAAATTGTACACAGCTACATTTTCTTGGCACCTGCAGATAAATGTTAGTTAAACATGGTGGTCCAGAATTGACTCATGATATTTCTGGCCTTTTTTGTTTTCTATAAACTCATTTCCGGAAATGAATGATGAAGAAAATTCACCATTTTGAAGGAAAGTTATAATAATAGTATACTGTCCGGCTACTGAAGGTTGTGGATCCCATTATCCCTCTAATATTTTTTACGCCTCTCTTGGAATAATAATCGTTATCACTTTATTGAATTTTGTGTACAACCTTATGGGTTGCGTGCAAGAACTGTCAGAAGACCGACCCTGGAGGTGAAACATTGACAAACAACCTCACTTTTCTCATTTTTTTACAAGGGATAGAGATAGTTTTTCACAATTATTTTGGCATACGAATCGTGTTTTTTAGTTTTTCGGCTATTCATTAATTCGCGCATGCCATCACATTGTGCTGTTGTATAATGCACAGAAAATGTAGCGAGAGACGAAGGAATCCGGTTACTACATTATGATTCAAAAGTAAGTTTCTACTATAGTCACTCACATATTGTTTTCATTTTGAAATTTGGTAATTTCCTCTGATTTTTCATCAGAATTCCTGTTGCAATAGGAGCTGATAGAAATACTCGTGAAATTTCTAACAGAATGCAAGAAGATATAGGATTCATGCAATCAAACGGGAGGACTGGTCTGACATGCTGACGAAATATGATCGTGTGTCTTGTAAACACTTTCAATTCATTAGCAGTATTAGCTTCTATTGCAGAAATGTCAGAAGTAATTTTAATAAGAAATGACAAAATCTCATAATGAGAATTATGTGAGAATACTATTCACCTGAAAAATCATATTCCTTCGTCTCTCACTGCTGCATTCTTCTTACATTGTTCAACAGCACAATGAGAAGGCATGCTTGAATTAATTAATAGCGCAAAAAACATGATTCGCATATATTGAGAAAAACTATTTCAATTCTTTGATTCCTCTGTGAAAAAATGAAGAAAGTTAGGTTGTGTTTCAATGTTTCACAGAAAAGTGGGGTAGTGTTTCAATATTTCACCTCCAGGGTCGATCATCGTGTACGCGACCTAACGAGAAACAATTTGGCATCCATTATGCTCGAATCATCGGCATTGAAATATTTGACCTCATAAAATCTTACAATTCAAAATATATTGAAATTCGATCTTCATTCGGCAAAGAATTCGGATCAAGGGTAGTAGAAAAAAATCGGAAAAAATCGCTCGAGCAAGCTATTACGATTTTGCTCTTCCCTTGATTCTCATTTGTTGCAATAACAATACAACTTTCATATAATAACATTTTGGATGAATTACATTGTGTTGAAATGACTTCGAGCTTTTTGTATTTATTTGACATTTCATTCTAATTTTTCGAGACCGAAGATCGAACAATAATCCATTCCATTTCGATAATGGATTTCGTCTAATGTCAGTTTTTGATTAAAATGCTCCCCCTCGATAAAACTTTGTTTTCAGCCGACTTCGTATTCAGGTTGTCCGGAAATTAAGCTCAAAAAATCAAAGGGGTGATTCTGCATGAGAAAATATAAAACTCATTAAATATATACGTGGGTCTGAAAATGCATAGTTTTCAAGATACAGTGTGTTAAACTTGAAAAAAAAAACGTTTTCATATGAATATCTCAAATAATATCCTTCCACTGAATCTCTCGAAATTTGGTAATGATATTCTTTGTCATGAGAGGCTGTGTTAGTCATAATTTGATTAGAATTGTAAAATCCAGTGGCGTCCCGGGGGCAACATATCGAATACCGAATAAAATGTGCACCACTGATTTTTTTTTTAAATTTCTTATCTTTATATCTTATCGACCAACTTAAAATACAACATTTTGGTTTCATGAATTATTTCGATATCTCGCTTCGTTTCCGTGCAAAAATTCCTTCAAAAACAGGGGTGGGAATAAATTTGTGGTCCATGTCCATAGACATAGATTGAAGAAGAAGATTCGTTCTCTTTGTATATTTTATAATATATGTTTGACACACTTTGTATTACCCAAAACAACGCCTTCCTGGACATTTGATATATTCATAAAAAACCGATGTTTTTCAAGTACAACACACTGTATCTTGAAAATTATGCATTAATAGACTCACGTACATATCAAGTGAATTTCTTAATTCATCATGTAGAATAACTCCCTTGATTTTTTGCGCATAATTTCCGGACACCCTCTATATGTTTCAATGATTCCCATGAAATTGTAATGACTTCTATTACCGATCAATATTGTGGTAGAGGTAAGAACTAAACATATACTGAGTCACAACTTACGGAATCTGCATTTAATTCGGAAATATGGATTTCATCGAAGATTTCATTTCTACCTTTTCTGAAGCGATTTCAATCTCTGTTTTTTAACACGAAAGGAAATCATTTCCTTTGTTGATCATTTCGACAAATGTCACTGATGACAGTGACAAGTTGTGTTTCATGACTACTAGGTGAATCAGTAGTTTAGATTTGCTCGTACGTTGGAATATCTCGATTGAAATCGCCCTCATCAATACACTAATTGATGAATTCAAGGAAACAACGTCAGTTTCTGTTTGAAACAGTTTATCTCGAAAACGGTTCGAAATCGAAATAGGATTATCTGAACAAAGTCAATCTAAAATTGGATGTAGAGCTCAAAAATGTGGAAAAATACAGGGTGTTCCATTTGAAAAAATTGACTTCCACTCATTTTTTCATGTGAACAAAGTATCCGCATTTTCTAAAGACCCTGTATGAGGCAAAAAAAATATGGCTCCGAAGTGAGGATCCTTATGGTATCACTTCACTCCATTCCGAATTTGATCGTCTTAGTACCAGAGAGTTCAAGATTATCAGCGTTTATGAAAGTACATGTTTGGTGAAAAAAAAAATCAAAATTAATTTATATCTCTTAAACGGTAAGAGATAGGTATAGGGACATACTATATGAAGTTGTTGACGAAGTGATAAGAAATCATAAAAGGATATTATATACAGTGTGTTCTATTTGAAAAATCAAAGTAACCGCTACTTTACAGTAGAAGCGGCAACGCCGCATGGTCTAAAATATTTTAGGCGTGTAGATCATGTTCATTTATGCATACTGTCAAATTTTCAGGTTGATCCGTTGTCTGGTTTGTCAGAAACGTCTAATTAACGCTCATCGTGAAAAGCCCTGTATAACTTTTGCACTACACAATTGACTTTCAGAATATATTAGATATTCCTGCAGGTGAAGATCAATTGGATTATTTATATATCAATTTGTCGAGTTTACGAAACGTCACTATCATAATTATTGTCACAATCATTTGCATAACAAGAATTTATATTGACTAGTAAAATTCACTAGTGATAAATGAATTGCATATTGATGAATTGGCAAAACAACTAATCTTTCCAAATGAAATTTGTTCTTTGAATTTCACCATCAAATTTCCGAGTTCCATCACTTAAATTTCTTTATTCGAGGCGAGAGCATTGAAACAAACCCAATTAGATAACGGCTTGACGGACTTGTGATATTATCAGTTGGCTTGTTTGAACAAACGGCTGATACGAATAATATTGATATACATATTTTGTAAAACTGGTGGTATCATTTTTCATCACCTTGAATTCATAAATAAATCAATGTGTATCGGGTCCCTGGTATTATACGACATGCATCCTCACATCAATTCATTTTGACTACATTATCAATTGAAATAACTTTCAATATTTTGCTTCAATGAAACATAATATATCGAGTATCATACCTATTGAATTTCGTGGATACATCCCAAGCAGCAGCTATCAGTCCTGCTATACACGAATCTACAGGAATTATGTCTGCCATGTTATTCCCAACATGATAAGGCATCACGTTCAACGTTCCTGACACTACTCCGAGGGAAATTCCAACTGGCCCATTGAGGTTATTAGTCCATCCTTCCAGAGGTTCTTTGTATGTTGGCATGACTATTATGGAGAAAACATTCAATTATTGGAACATATAGGTAAATTGGATGAGTATATAGATACTGTTATATCGCGATATTATTATGTGAGTATAAGGCCAGATGGGCTCTAGGCTTCAATAAAATATTTTCCCAAGTTGATGCCTTTCGCTGATATTCGCGCATTAGAATGGGGTAATCATAAATGATATGGAAACGAAGTTCTGGTGACATGGAACTGGATGAGAGTATTTGTTTATCAATTTGGGATTTCAACAGGTTAAACCATCAACCAATCAACAGAAAAGGAGATATTATATTTTTTGATAAAATAATTGAATGTCGGTACGATAATTGATAGGTAATAACAATTGAATTAGGTGGATAATGTGTAACTAACTTGAAAGCTATTAATATTCAGAAAAAACAATATGGCTAAGCTACACTGACTGAATATTATAATGATTGAAATCAAATTGAATAAGAACTGATTGAACCAATAATTGTTTTGGAAGAGAAAGCATGTAACACTTTTAGATGAGCAGGAAGGAACCAGTTTTATCACTCATGGGTTTTCAACAGTATTTTTTTCAAACTTCGAGCTATACCATCAGAAAAAAAACGAAATATGGCGCCTCTAATAGAAAGAAAAGTTGAAGCATATTCACAAACCAGAGAAGCATAATATACCTCACAATTCTGATTTGAATTTTCAGGAGATATATATCTGTTATTTATATCCCAAACAAGGAATAGTGACTGAGTTATTGCCAGAAATGATTCAATATTTCATTTGTTATTCATTGTGATAGTATGCATATTTGAATGATGAAAATACTGAGGAAAATACTCAATATTCTTATTGCCTAGAAATCAAAATGAACTCACAGGCAAAAAAGACCGACCAGAAAGAAATTCGGGAAATTGATCGTAGATTCATGTTTTAGCCTGTTTTTTGAGGCGATTCCTCAAGACTATTCAAGACACTTGATCAACTCTACTGGGTCTACTTTCAGATATTTTCAGTAGTTCATGTTTTTCTTTGCTGGTGAGTGCTGGGAAAATGGGACGGAAATAAGTCATATTGAGTTTCAGACGTTTTCTCTGATTGTTAATCGATAAGTTCATGTTGGTTCTGTAATATTGTTCATAGAATCAAACAAAAAATCCATAGGTACTTTCTAAACATTATATTTGTATCTTTTCTTGAAAAGGGGACCTTGACGTGAATCAATAACCATTGTGTTGAGGGATCACACTCCAATTCAAAACATACGCAAGCTGAGTTTATTCACTCACTATTTCCACAGGGCGTTGAGAAACTAAGGGTGAAAGAGAGAACTTTTGTTTTTCCTGGTATAATGAACACGTCAACAGCTTTCCATGAATCTACGATTCAGTCGGAATTTCACCAATATAAGACAAGAATTGAAAAAATAATTTGGTGAAATTTCTTCCGAGCTTTTTTTTTGTTGGTGATGCATGGGTATAGTTGGAATTCAACTTTGGCGAGTGATTTGGACAATGTACATACATCATATTCAGAACATCATGCTTGTGTAGTGCCAACCGTCCCGAAGAAATCTGGAACGTTACACGCATGAGCATAGCCAGGGAGGGGTAGGGGATTGCGCTTTCCCCCTCCCCCCTCTCTGCGAATTCTGGAAAAGGTCACTCAAAATTCTCTACTTCGATTCATCAGTTACTCTATTTGGGCAGCGATGTTCAGATGATAACATACCTATACTTTCTCACTTCTGATTCTACCGCCCTTTAAAATGTCAAATATGGACCGTCTAGTAGGTTTCCTTGGAAGATCACACAATCATGAAACCATTTTCAGTGAAAGCAAATTATGATGTTACTTATGGGCGAAAATATAAATTGCGACAAAAGCGATGAATGGGATAGCAGCAGAATTGGTGAAATGAACTGAATTTTTCATTCAGCAACTGACGCGGGCTCTGTTGATTTCACTTGCACATTGGACAACCATTGAGAAGAGGGAACCTGCTTGAGGTCTACTATGCCTGAAAGTCGACACACCTAGACTTCTGAATCAAATCAAATCAAAATTTACTTTATTGCCTGAAGAATAAATTCTCATTGACAAAGTATTGATCGTCCTTACAAAGCATAGTCTTATGTAAAAAATAAGAACATATATTCAAATATAAAATGCAGACATGTAAAGAAAGTGTGTAAATGTATAAAATCGTAATGAAATGTGAAAATGTATAGAGGTAAAAATGTATATAAAAGTGAAAATATATATGAACATTCACAAATTTGTTTTCAAAGACAATGATACATTTATGAGCAAGTTTGAAAATCGGTAGAATTAGTACAAAATCAGGTAATCCGGTGAGATTATAGCACTCTTTCTCCAATAGAAACTTTTCAACCGATTTCCTAAACCTTTGTTCAGTTTATATTTGATTGCAAGGGCAGATGATTGAACAACTTCTTGCCTTCGTTAATTATAGATATCTTGGTAAGACTCATGTCTGAATTCTTCAAACTTCTTTTCAACTAGGCAAACGGTTTCCAAAATGAAAATGCAGGCCGGTGGCAGTATTCTATGAATCAAAAATAGAGGTCTACATGAATCCCTCTAATAGGCTTCGCACATATATCTTATTGTTCTTTTTTGGAGAATAAAAACTCTATCGAATAAATAGTTTGCGCACATACCCCAGAAGCAAAAACCATAGCGTAGGTGCGATTCAATGAGTGAGTAGTAAGCGTTCTCTGCCTCAGTTAGACCTAATTCATTAGATGTAACTCGTACGGCATAACAGCCAGACGCTAGCTTTTTAGCTAAGTTCAAAATGTGCCCTTCAAATCTTGGTTTGGCGTCAATATTCAATCCCAAGAATTTATGTGTTTATGTTATGCTAAGACAGTCATTATCGAGAAATACATTGTTGATAACGGTCTTAAAGTTGATTATATCTGTCTTAGAGGTGTTGAGTGTGCATGGAAAGACAGTTCTCGAAAAAAAGGAATATTAGTTATATTCTGTCTAGACGCATGCTGGCTCATTTCAAAATAAATAAAACTTCATATAGTATTCCATCAGTCTGTCATCTTTTTTCTCTACGCAGATGTATTACATCAAATTCTGGATATACGTTTGTTATATGAACAGAATTTGTTGCATCATTTCAAAAAATACCCTACTGCCTCCCCCTCATATGAAATCCTGGGTACGCCCATATTTACACGCTTTATATCGCTTATATTCATCTGCAGATTGATGATTGATTACCACTGAATACTCTAGTAGGTTAGGTCATAGCAGAGATATATCCGTTGGAGACCGCTATTATATCCACTTACCTATGGATGGTCTGAAAATTGCTACAGGTATATCGCTTCCAGCTTCCTTGATAAATGACTCTGCCAGCCCTTTTGTGAAAGTATAAGTATTGGGCCAGGATCCAATCAATCTGGAAATTAGCTTAGGAGTGAATTATTGAAAAATTGGATATCAGATTCCTCTCACTTTGGGGTTAGTTTTTCAATATCTGAGTCATTCAATGCATTTATGACTGAAGAAACTCCTTCATAAGAATATGGAAAGTCGTATATTTTTTCCTCGATGATTTTCCTTGGAAAATTTGAATATGCAGTGGATACGTGGACCAGTGCCTGCGAAAAATCGGTTCAATTGAGGCCTGAAATGAAGACTATAGGAAAGGTGAACATTTTGACGCAGTTTGATGGATTTGAATCTTAATTATTACTCTACTGGTTTACACCAACAGAATTCCTTTGTGTATTTCAAGATATTCGCGAAAAGAGCTATACTTGAATCATTTTATTTCTTCAGATTTTTCGCTTTCATTTGCTTTTAAATATGACATAACGAGAAAAATATGCATTGCCGAGCCTATGCCCGAATAAAATTCTCGCCAAAATAATCACACCTCGAAGTTGGGCCACCAATTCTTTTTATCTCTTGGAGAGCACGATAGGAAATTATTATAATGTTCGAAGAACACCATGCGTACCTAGGGAGGATGAGGATAGATGGTAAGTGATAGATTTTTTTTGAACATTTGGAGGTTATAAGTTTTCCATTGGCAAGAATTGCAAAACTTTGCCGTTCTATAAAGACGAACGATTTTTGGTAAAGTAGGGAAACAACGGTAAGAAGAAAATAACCATGTTTGTTCATCACAGTCGATTGAAATTGAAACCGTTTCAGATATAAAATACGATCATAAGAAATAAGTGAGTGCAAATACAAATTCGACAACTGTGTATTCATGGAATTCCGTGTTTGGTGTCAATAACAAATTTGCTATTGAATCAATCAATTCCATATTGTTTATTTCCGATTTGAAATTGATTGGTTTCAATTTAAACTCGTATTGGTTGAATTGGGATTCGCCAAATCCGTGCCCAATCATTTTGTCCTAATTTGATTTTTTTTTGCCATTTTCGAAGTGATTAAAAGTCTCACGTTCAAATTATTCATCATTATTATTCCATTATCAAATTGAACGTTTTGAATCCATGCTGAAACATTCTGTCTCGAATCGAGGATGATCATTCCAATTTTGGAGTTCAAGATATGTACCTAGCCAATAAACACAGAGTCATTTCTGATACTCTGAAATCGTCATACCTAATTGATATGATCATGTGAATGATCTTTATACTTATAAATGTGTTTTTGTACTCACATAACTGAAGTGGCATTCAGCGTACGGATATGTACCACGCTGAATAATCGATTCATCACGTATTGATGATCTGTGATTCATTCAAAAATTTAAACACGTTACCATGGCAACACAATTTCTTGAATACATTAACATGACAATGTTTTTTTTAAACACACCCAGAGTCCTCAGAGTCCTGTCCGACCTGTCAATTGTAGGAACCGAATTTTGTTGCAATCAGAAAATGTCGAACAATTTTCGTTTGTATCAGAATTCTCCATTATGCGGAATGTTGACGAAATTGAAATCGGTAGGTACTTGCATATTTCCAAGAACTCTAAAGTTGAGAATGAAGCTCTCATTTTCGTGGGCAATACATTCTATACTAATTGCTAAGTATGAAAATGAACGTAAAACACAATATTCACACCTCAGCGAATCGAAGAGTATCCTATGGACTGGACACACATTCACAACCAATATTACTCATACGTGTCTCGTTTGTTGCATGCATGAGTTGCATAGTACTATGTATTATGTTCTCAAGTCTCATTCCCTTCGAATTGTTCTGTAGGAAAGCATTTAGATCAATCTTTTTTTCGGAACTTTGGGACCTTGTCAAAGAGAGGAATTTTGAGTTCGTAGAAAAAGTATAGTATGAAACGCGTTTATAACCTCTTCTAGACACTCGTTTATTGAACACTTACTTCGCTTTGCTGTTCTCAATATTATTTTATGAATATATGAATTACGAGTATTGTGACGTTCATAATCATCATTTATTGTCAAATTCAAACAATCTATCTGAACACTCAAAAACACTAACAGTTGTCAGTTTTGTGTCAGAACTCTTATTATTATTATTATTAATTCCACCTAGCACGTACCCACCTTCAAATTTTTCATTGATTTAGCCATGATGACGATTTCTCTAGCACCATTGAAATTGATAGCGTAAGCCTCTTTCAGATTTGCATTGAATCTGACTGTTGCAGCCATATGGAAAATAACATTAGTTTTCGCTAACAGCTCTTCTCGATCTTGGTCTGCAAGTCCGAAACCGGATACGGAGCAATCTCCAGATATGGGATGCACTCTATCTCGAAATGTTGGGCAAGCTATCTTCAGTTTTTCAAAGATCTGGAAAGAAATAATGCATTCGTCAAATATCCAGGGCTATTTTTTTGAAATCGTACAGTGTTGTTTAATAACTTCAATACATTTTCAACTCACGATGAGGAATTTTGATCTTTCTGATAGAGGTACAAAATAGAATATTATATACCTTTGGTAAGAAGTGAGATATCATATACGGTATGATATATATTGAATACAGGGTGTCCCGAAATGAAAAAATTCCAACCACGGATACTAGCAACTAAATTAGTAAAAAAAGTTCATGTGAACATTGGTCAAGAAATAGATCCCTGATGGGATGTTATGGCTATAACGGAGCAGAGCCCCAGATTATGGTTCTGTATGAATATTTTTCCTCAGTGATGTAACAATCAAAAGATGTAATTGAATATAACTTTTCATGCCCGATTTGGGAATGTGAAGAATTTTCTGAAATCTTGATCAGGGGCGTGGGAGATTGGTGGGGCTAGGAACACTTTTTCTCCCAACTCCTTGAGTAATTTTTGCATTTCGACAAGGAAATATGGAAATCTCAACATTTCCACTTATAAATGGTGATCTTGTTTAGTTTCGATAGTATTCACCATTTTCGAGTGAAATCGATTCTAAAATTCTGCTGCGTAATCAAAATAGTGCTGTTTCCTCAATAGAGGTCAACAAAATTTAGTTTGATGGAAAATACCCCTTCTTCCAACACCAACTTTTGATTTTTGATTCCAAACAGAAGAAATGCAATAAAAATAAAAGACAAATAATATGGTGAGTACCTAATTAAGATAAAGTACAATTTTTATTACGCAGCAGCAAAATGGTGAGTGCTATCGAAACTAAACAAGGGGATAATTTTCGAGTGAATATGATGATGATAGTAGCATGATATGCGGACTTCGTTGTATGTTTGTACAAAATATTCTTATTCTATCACAGAGGGTGTCAGACATATTCACAAAACAAACATCAACACGCGGGCGCTGATTTGGAAGGCTTTCCCAGGGGGCCATTTCTTGACCTATGTTTATATGAACTTTGTTTACTTATTTTGATACTAGAATATGTGCTTGAAATCTGTCCATGTAATTTCGGGACACACTGTATAACATTTTTCAGATCTAATCAAGACTTCTTTCCTATAATCATTTGTCCTTCAACACATCGTTACCGTTCTACAATTTCAAGATTTTTTTCTCTTTTTCTTTATATCTATTTTGGTTTTTGAGATATTCAGGTCGAATTGACTTACGGAATATACATATTTTTTGACCAATTGCAACAATTTCAGCTATTCAATGATCGTTCAATGGTCTCATGTGCGATATTCGAGAGGTTTGAATATTCCAAAACATTCCAATAAATAATGTATTGTCAATATCTACTTGCGATATTTATCAGTAATATCCTTCATGCTGGCGGGGTACAAGCTCATTTCTATCAAAATGAATGTCACTCAGATTTTCAGTCGGTTTTGTATTTATTCACAATTTCCACTGGGAATTTTCTGACAACCAAGTCGAATTTCTTCTTAGTTTTTTTGACAACTGAACTCCTATAGGCTGAACTTGATATATCAAGATATTTTGTCTCGTCCAGCTCACATTATTTCCGGTGTTCCTCAAGGGTCCATCCTTGGCCCTCTTTTATTTTTGATATATACAGCAGACATTTATAATAAAATAAAATTTTCAAATCTTCAAACTTATACAGACGACACACAACTTGTGCATCATTTTGACCCCTCTGTTGCAATTGATATGTTAGAATCGTTGATGTAACAAGTTTTCGGCAAATAACTTTTGATACGAGGAGAATTTCGATAAGGTTGTTATATGAAAAAAAAATTGTTTTCATTCAAGCATCGAATGTCATGAAAATATACAGGGGCTACAATTTGGAATATGAAGAAAAAGTGCTTTAAAATTTGAAAAATTTGCCGCTAAATTTTGCACACCCTGTGATGATTCGTGCCAATCAAACTCTATCAGCGATCCTGTTAGGCCCCATTTGGATTGTACCTCTTATGATTCTATGGACGAGTGGTGCAAAATAAAATTTTTTTGTTATATTTATTTTACGTGAATATCACTAGACCGATTTCAAATAAATTTCAGGAGTATTTAGGTGACCACTGGAAGCACTCAAATGTGCAACGAAATATATGGCATGCCATAAAAAAAGTATATCATTATGGTATGCGCCCTATGAAACAATTGAAGTCTGCAAAATATCAAAATCCTGACTCAACTGATAACTGAGTCTTAGAAGACGGGAGGTGAGATGGCGGACCCTGTATAAAAACATAACGTCACGACATCCGAATGAATGCGATGACAACTGAAATCTGTCGTCAAACAAATAGTCCTACTTAGGACTACCAAGATATCACTCTAAAAGGTGACTTTGTATTTATTTGCTTTCTAGGAATGTGGTATAAACTTTGATGAATATATATATATACCTATCTATATACACATATACTAATACTACCTAATCTTTTCTTCTCGAAAAATGATGCAATCGAAATTCCAGTCAACATACAGGGTAGACTATCATTATAATAATTATAATTATACCACCACAACGAGTGAAAAATGTGTTGAAGTATTTCCGAGATATTTGATCGTTGCAGAACTTCACATGTGCAGTCCTTTTGATGTAGAAATCCCACGTTAGCCATGGGTTGGTGGTTTCCTAGTAGGAAGTGGACCCCTTCTGATTAGAATTCGATATTTACTTCATTCAGCGTCGTTGGTTTGAGACTCACGAGCTTTTGTTCATCTTATTGTAGCGTTCCTTGATGTTCTGGGCACTGCTGTTTTTACTAAATTATTTCGGTTGTTGTATGGTTCTGAGAGAGGTTATGCGATCCTGTTTCGTGATCAATCGTGATTCCTAACCCTAGTTTTTAACTTTAGACATCATTTATTATTTCATTATTTCTTATTTCTTCAAAATATTTTTGTTGGATTGGAACATGAGAAGTTACAGTCTCAGTTGTAATTATAATATGTACCAAAAGCGGATACAAGGGCCAAGAGTATTGAATATTATTTTAGAATATTAAATCTTTTGGAAAAGAAAAACAGCATAAACAGTGTACAAAATGTAGGTGCGAAAAATGAAATGTAAATAAGAATAAGATGACAAATGACAGTTGACAATTCAAACTGTTTTGGTTTGATAACTTATAAATCACCATATCAGAACCAAGTTGGTGAATTAGTCAACTAAAGATACATGGTGTGAACATTCGATAACTAAGTCAGTTTGGTCTGAATTTGGTCAGATCAGTTTGGTAAGCATACCAAATATCTACACGGTATAAACGTGGCCACTGAGTGCATATTCTGTATTCCATTGGTAAAACTGGTGTCGAGTTCTGAATTCCATTAGAAAAACGGTTCACATAGTTTAGAGCTCAGTGCAACAATTCTCGCACGAGCTCTTATAGGTCGTGCGAAGTCAATGCAGTAGTGAAATGGCGGAAACATTAAAATATGAATAGTTTGAGAACCAAATTGTAAGTGGCAATCCAATCATCATCATCAAATAGTAATGAAGAGTTGGAGGTTCCAAGAAAATAAAAAAGATTACTTCCCAGAATTCATAATTTTGTTGAAAGTATTTTGCGAATTCAATGATGAAGAGGTACTTATTGAGAAATAAAGTGCTCAAAATTATTTCCATGAAACATCTACTTTGTTTTTAATAGGAAATGGTTTCAGAATGCGGACTAGTTATAGACAAAGACAAACCAACTTATCCGATTCAACCTCTAACAATAATTTTGTTATAATAAAATTTCGTATTCCATAGGGAATACACCAGTTCACATTTTGGAGAGAACTAGAGTAGTGCGAGTGTGCAAAGCTGGTGCAAAACCAGTGCACCACCAGGTGATCGAATGAAATTCGCTATAGGTCGCGTGTATGATGACCGACCTTGTAGGTGAAACATTGACACGACCTAACTTTTTTCATTTGTTTACAGAGGAATCAAGAGGATTGAGATAGTATTTCACAATATTTTGGCAAACGAATCGTGATTTTTGCGCTATTCATTAATTCAAGCATGCCTTCTCATTGTGCTGTTGTACAATGCACAAAAAATGCAGCGAGAGACGAAGGAATATCATTTTTCAGGTAAATAGTATTCTCACATAGTTTTCTCTATACAATTTTGTCTTTTCCTATTGAAATTCCTTCTGCCACTTCTGCAATAGAAGCTAGTACTGCTAATAGATTGAAAATATTCACAACACACACGATCATATTTCGTCAGCATGTCAGACCAGTCCTATCGTTTGATTGCATGAATCCAATCTTCTTGCTTTCTTTTAGAAATTCCACGAGTATTTCTATTAGCTCCTATTGCAGAAGGAATTCCGATGAGAAAACAGAGAATTTTTTAAATTTCAAAATGAGAGCTATTATATGTGAGTGACTATAGTAGGTACTTACTTTCTAATCATGATGTACCAACCGGATTCCTTCGTCAATTGCTGCATTTTTTGTGCATTGTACAACAGCATAATGTGAATTGAGGAATAGCCGAAAATCACCACAATAATTGAGAAAAACTATTTCAATCATTTGTGAACAAATAAGAAAAGTGAGGTTGTGTTCCAATGTTTCGGTTGGCAAACAAAGATTATACATCACTTGTAATTAAATTGTATTTTGCCCGAATCACCCTATTATTCTGGTAGTTTTATGTGTCAGGTGTTTGAGGGAGTCTCAGAGCTGAATTGAACAGTGCTTCAATATGCTGAGCTCATATTTCCAGAAGTTATTGCAGGAAAACCCAGAGGTTGGTTAGAGGTAAACATGAATATTTATTGTTTTTCCGGCTATTTTTCTCAACTAACCAGTAAATTTTCATTCCTAAAACTATCATACAACCATTATTTGTTTGTAGATATCTGATGAAGCTGATGTTGATCAAGGATTTGAAGCCCTTCACATCTGAAACTGCTGACTGATTAGACTACCACATAATTATACTCTCCT